TTACATTGGCTTAAGCTATCAAAGTTAAAGTCTGGTCTAATCGGACTCATTTACACCCCTACGATTGTCCAATCCTTCCCTCACAATATTTTTCTCAATTTTACATGGGAAGATACCGACAATAGTACATGTAACTAATGTTTGTTTCTTAGCAAGGTGGGCTTTATAAATCAAGAATCGGTGTGGTGTGTCAGTGTGTTTCTCTCTCTATGAGAAAAAGGATGGTTTTTTATGTTTTATTTCACGGTTTAAAATCTTAATTCTGGGATCCGTCTCAAATCGAATTAGTTGTGAAACGATGAACTTATTGGAATATCTTATAATATATATATATATATATATATATATATATATATATATATATATATATATATATAATCCATTGCTTTTCAAAATATTACACTCCTCTCCCCTAAAAGATGAATATGTAATGCACTTTTAGTCTATCTTAATACAAACGAATATCGATCTCCTAAAAAAATAAATATAAACGAATATCTTATCAATGGTTAGTATAAATAACCAATTCAACCTAAAAACTTAAGTTGTTGGATGAGATTATGTTAATGATTTTATATTTCTCTAACACGCCCTCTTATACAATAGCCGAATACAAGCGTTTCCTCCCTCCCCACATGAATAAAAGTAGATAAATGGGAATTAATTCGAATTCCCACATGATGAAAAAAAGTAAAATGTCTCGAGAAGAAAAGAGTCCTATTTGACCGCTATACATTGCTAACATCAGGAAATGGAATAATCGGGATTCTCGAGTAACCGGCTGAGCCGCTAAAGTAGCTAAAGTGGTGATAAATCCCGCCAGTAAAATAGGTCCTATAGAGAGTCCATCTATTCCAAGTCTCCAATAAAAATCTAAAATTCACTGGGCTTAAATAGTGGATAATGCACAGGCCTATCTACCTGTGCCAAGAAACTCCACAAAATTTAATTATTTATTAATTAAATGGGGACAGTGATGATTGAACCTGTGACACTGAGGCTCTGATACCATGTCCAGAATCAATTCAACCCAAAAGTTTAAGCTGTTGGATGAGGTTATATTAATGATTTTATATTTCTCTAACATCTTCATTTGACTTATGTATTGGCAATCCCTTCCCTTAAATATAACTTACTTTCCGTAGCACAACTTATTAATACCTTGAATTGCACTATCACTTTTTGGCCCTCATTTTGTGTGTTCCAGGACATTTCCACTTGGAAGACTCTTAGCTATGGTGTTAAGCGAGACAAAAAGAGACAAAATAAATTAAAAGAGGTTAATCATGCCAGTAGTGAAGAAAAGGCTCGTAAACAATTTGGCTTTGGTTTTGACATAAAAGACCAGGACATCACTCTTTTAGCTATTTGCAAATATTACATTCAAGATTGTTTTCTAGTTTGAATATTGTTGATTTCCATTGTGATACATGCGAACTAGCAAAACAAAAAGCCATCATGTTTCCTATTTTTCTAGTAGTAATAAAAGTTCAATTCCTTTTGAAGTTGTTCACCCGGATGTTTGGGGAACTGTTGTTGTTCCTTCCCTAGCTAAAGCTCGATACTTTGGGACATTTACATATAAATGTACTTGAATGACATGGGTCACATTGTTACATAAGAAAAGTGATGTATTTATAGCCTTCCAAACTTTTCGTTGAATGGTAGCAACTCAATTTCAATTCCAGATCCGAATTTTGCAATGCAATATGATAATGGGACTGAATATACAGATAAATATTTTGCACAATTCTTGAGTCACTAGGGGATTAGACATCAGACCTCTTGTACTTATACACCACAACAAAATGGTTTGGCCGATAGGAAGAATAGACAACTTATGAAGGTTATTTGTGCTTCTCTTTTTGACTTTTATTGGGGGTGAAGCTGTTTGCTCTGTTACTTATCTGATTAATCATACCCCTTCTAGTGTCCTCAACTTTGTAACTCCACAATAGAAGTTTGAATCACTACTTTCAGTTCCCCTCATTCCCAATCTTGAGCCTCGTATGTTTGGCTGCATTATTTATGTCCATATTCCTAAAGTATTGCATAACAAATTAGATCCATGTGCTAAAAAGTGAGTTTTTTTGTTACTCTAATGTTCAGAAAGGATACGAGTGTTATGATCTCCAACAACAAATATTACATATCATTTTAGATGTCTCTTCTCGGGAATTTGAACCTTATTAGGCAGGGGGAGCTTTTGGGTCTCCTCTTCAGGGGGAAAGTTACTATGAAGAGCAAGACCAATTTTAATCAACTTGAATGTTAGAGGAATTGAAGCAACAAATACAAGTGTGGAAAATGTTGAAGTCTTACATTCTGACTCTCAGGTAACTACAGAAATACCTTGCTTAACACCAAAAATTGAAGGATATTTCCAGGACCACCATAACCCAACACAGGTAATTTCTAACCCTACTCCTCTTGATGAAAATATATTCCAGAATGATAATCTACTCATTGAAAGTGTCATTGTGTTTCATAATATTCCTACTGGAACCATGATTGATTCTAGTGACATAATTATCAGAAGATCACATAGAATCAATAAGGGTGTCCCAAAGAAACTATATGAACCTGACCCCAATGCTAAAGCTAAATATCCTATTGGTAACTATGTGTCTAATCATAGGTTATCTAAGTCATAGGTTATCTAAGTCATATGCTCTTACGGTTGATCAATTGTCCAATATATTTGTCCTTAGTAATGTGCAGGATGCATTGGAGGATCTAAATTAGAAGAAGGCAATGAATGATGAAATGGAGGCCTCGCAAAATAACTCTACTTGGGAACTCGTGCCCTTACCAGATGGAAAAAGAACAATTGGATGTAGTGGGTGTTTACTGTAAAACTAAAGTCAGATGGAAGCGTTGACAGGTACAAAGCTAGATTAATAAAATATCCTAAGAGATTAATAAAACCCTTCTATTGCTTTCCTTTTCCTCCTAAAATTAACTCCCAAACAAGTCTTTAGTGGCCTTTATTATTACCAATAATTATTTTTGAACACTCTTATTCTTGAATTTAAAATTTTATAATATGAAATAAATTATTGAATAGTTTTTGCTATTACTTTTAAGAATTCATTTTATGTTGCAAAGCACAAAGTTAACACTATGTGTTTAAAACAATTATTTATAAACTAATATCGTACAGTGAAAACTAAAAAAATCGATCTGAATATAAAAAATCAAAAAATTTCATTTTTATTAAATTATATATGGGAAAAGAACTTCTGTTAAAAGTTCTCTCTATCTAACAACATACAAAAAAAAAAATCTCATTTTTTATTTCATTTAAAGTGATGGGTCCCTTATGTTTTTTTGGATCTACTGTTAGAGAGAGAACTTCTTCAATAACAACAAAAGTTCTTATCCCTCTATGTGTGCTGTTAGACAAATTTTTTTGCAGTGACAACGGAAGTTCTTTTTTCATATATAATATAATAAAAATTAAATTTCTTAGTTTTTTTTGTATTCAGAAGCCTTATAAATATATGTAACGAATTATGAAAATGTATTATGTTCAGCTAGTAAATATAGAAGAGTGCAATACCTGAACTACCACATAGTTCTGAGTTTGGTTTCATATATTGTATTTATATTTTGTTTTGTAATCATGTTAAATCTGTCTTTCTAAAAAAAATATTCAATCCAAATCGCTGTGGATTATATGAGATTGGATCAATTTTTTTTTTTTTTTTTTTTGGGTACATTGCCAGGAGGTATCTCCATTCAACCTTCTCCGGGCACCATATCCTCCGGATACGGCCCGTTTGGGCTAGCCCCTCATTGTAACAGTGGGTGCACTAAGCTTCGCAACCGGAGAAAGGACGATTGGATCAAATTTTAATATTTAAAACATTGTTGTTAAAATCTCGATTTATCACTACGATTTTACATTTTTACGATTTTTTTTATCAAAACGATTTTACTAATATCCCAAACGCTTTTACGTTTTTATGATTTTTTACAATTTTTTTACATTACGATTTTACGTTTTACGATTTTTTAATCCCCTTCCAATTTTATTTAAGATCTAGATTTTAACAACATTAATTTAAAACCTACTTGATCAGATGGTAAAATATGAAAATTGAATTCACCAAAAAAATAAAATGAAAATTGATGGAATTGGATCGAATGACTTTTTTCCTTAAAACTATTCAATTTAGAACTAGCACGTCGATAATTGAAAAAAAATGAAAGAATGGTTTGGTAAAGACTTATTTACATTAATGAACTAAAATATAATAAATATATTCTATGATAATAGCTTAGTTGTGCAATGGAGTTGAGTGGGTGGGGAATGATTTTGGTTTGATTTCCAGCAATGCCATCTTAAGAAAGGAATATAAAACTTTAATTCTGTTATTCAAAAAAAAAAAAAAAACACCTTAATTCTCGACTTGCACCAAATTCCGAATGAATTCATATGCAACTGAAAGAGTCAAACTTACGAGAATATATTTTGAGTCTCTCCTAAAAAAGAAATATAATATACCCCATTTTCTTTGCATAATTTTTGACAAATTAAAGATATAAAATAGAGATAAAATATTATTTTTATACTTTATGTCTATTTTATTTATTTACTTTTAATATCATTAGATTAAAATTTTAAGAGAAAAGGAAAATAATGAAAATTAGTTAAGATTTTAATAGATAGAGTAGATATAAAAAAAGAAGTAGATATAGTATCTTATCCCATGGAAGTGTTAGACAAATGTAATTTGGAGATGATCCGTTTATAATTTTTTTTTACAAATTACACTAAGCATGACCAGTCATACACTTTTGATTAGTGTATGACCGGCCAGACAGTGTAATTTGTAAGAGTTTGTAAATAAAAAATTTGTAAATATAACGTTTAAGATGTAATTTATATTACATTTAATTTAATTAATTTATTTTATAGTATAAAAAAGAAATAGACCCTAGTTAGTAAATTGAACAAGATCTGTGAGACACAAATGAATTGATTGCGGAAACTTGTGAGGCCATCTAAGCGTGTAACTCTTAAACCCTTTAAACCTCTGCCCCGACTGTTGAAGCTCCAAGATGCAGGGTGTTGTTAGAAAACTAACCACCACAATTTCACATAGACGAGTACGCGTTCCTCAATCAATCGCTTTCTGTTATCTACTTATCTTGTACCTTGTATTCAGTCGAATCGAGTCAATAGCTTTCTGTTATCTTGTACCTTGTATTCACTCGAATCCAGACCATATGTCTGCTTAGTATGATCTAAACAATTCGCTGGTGAAACTGTGTGTTGCTTCTCTGCATGTCAATTCAATATTTCTCTCTCTGCCATTTATGATTTCACAGTAAATATTTTCAGCATTCATATGCCCAAGCTTTAAATTGGTTGTTCTCACAAAGTTACATGATCTAATGTTCTAATTCTTTTTTCTATTCTTAATTTATTTGGCTAAATCAAGGGAATAATTAGGTGATTCATTTGAGTTACTCTGACTACTTGGAATTTGCACAAGTTTCGATCGCAGGTTATAGGGTTTCGTTTGTACTGCACTGACAAGGTTCTATCGCAGGTTATAGGGTTTCGTTTGTACTGCACTGACAAGGTTGTTGATGTTGGACAACCAACGCCGGCATCTCATCCGCAGGTGCTATTTCACTACATGTCCCTTTTTTTGTTTTTGTTTTTTTGTTCGAAAAAAGAAAAATAAAAGTTGAATTACTTTCTGACTTGGCACATTCGAAGCATGGATACTATATGGCATGGATGCTAAGATACTGCAAATTTTAGAAATTATAACACACAACAACGACAACATGATTTTGGTACAGCATATAATATTAGTATAAAATTAGCATAAAAGTATAAATCTTTAATTAAAATAGAAGATGAATATTTTAAAGGCTAGCATACTTAATAAATACTATCATTTATCTAGTTAGTATAATGTTTTCATTTGAATTTGTACAAAAATCCAAAAAAATAAGAGTATAAAAATTGCAAAATATAACTAGGAATATCCAAAGCATTTGACAGAGGTAAGTATGTGCTTCCTAGCTTGGCACTACATGCTAAAAAGCATTTAGCTAGAATACTTATTTGTTAAGATTAATTAGCATTTTTTTTATGTTATGTTGCATTGCAGCTACTAAAAGATGGGGAGCTCACACCAGGCATATCTAGTGAGGAATACATCCTAAGAAGAAAAAAGTTGTTGGAACTTCTCCCAGAGAAGAGTTTGGCAATCATTGCCGCTGCCCCTGTAAAGATGATGACGGATGTTGTGCCGTATACATTTCGACAAGATGCTGATTACTTGTATATCACTGGCTGCCAACAACCTGGTGGTGTGGCTGTTTTAGGACATGACTGTGGTTTATGCATGTTCATGCCAGAAGCTAAGCCTTATGTGTGTCTGATATGATACCCTTTAATTCTTAGAAATAGAACTCTCTTTGTTGTTCTGCAATACTTATCTATGATGTAAACTCACCACTTATTATCTTAAGTTATGTAAAATGTTTACTTGCGTGTAAAAAATTCAACTACTTGTTTGTTAGTTTAATATCTGATCGTTCATCTGATTACCAATATGCCATCTTTTGAAACCTATAATATATCAATTGTTTTTCATGTTAGCTTCAACGATCCATGAATTTGGTCATCATGGGTGTGATTTATCTCGTGACTTTTAGAGTTATAGGATAAACAAGTAATTAAGCTTGAAGCTAACATAATTTTAAAACCATAAATTTGTGTAGGATGTGATTTGGCAAGGGCAAATAGCTGGAGTTGATGCAGCATTACATACATTCAAGGCTGACAAGGCATATCCAATAAGAAAATTGCAGGAGGTGAATTGCTGCTAAAAAGTATTAACAACCTTTACTTCTATAGGAATTAGCTAGCATCTATTTTGTCCTCTACCTGTGAAATATTTCCATCGATAAGCCTGCTGGCGGCTGGCAGCCAATGTTGCCACAACTTTGCCATCTAAAAAATGCATTTTCATCATCTTGATCAAACAATTGTAATGGTGTTTTAATTTAACCTTTTTATTACTGATTCAGATCCTTCCAGATATGATAAGGGGATCCTCAAAATTGTTCCACAATGTTCAGACTGCAACTCCAGCATATATGGAACTGGAGGCCTTCAGAAAGCTTGTGCATAATAACAATGTAAGGGATCTATCTGTTTACACGCATCAGCTGCGATGGATAAAGTCACCAGCAGAGCTCAAGCTGATGAAGGAGTCTGCATCAATTGCTTGTCAGGTACTTTCAACTCTATAGCACGGTTAACTATCTAATGACTAAAAATCCAGAACTCCCAGTGAGGCTGTTACTTGCAGAATTGGTAATTCTACCATTAGTTGTACTAGATTCAAAATGATTAACTCTTGATAATTTGAACATTTTCTGGTCTTGGGTAGGCTCTTTTGTCAACAATGCTGCATTCAAAGACATACCCCTGTGAAGGTATGCTAGCTGCAAAGTTTGAATATGAATGCAAAATGAGAGGTGCCCAGCGAATGGGGTGAGCATTTCTTTATTGAATAATTTGGCCTCTTAAGCAATTTTTTGGTGTCTGACTACTTCGTGTATTGTTATTGATAATTTAAGAAGCTTCCACAAGAGTAATATAGAAGTTCATTAATAAAAAGCAAATGTAAATTTAAGCATCACTTGTGTCCATAATTAATGTTATACTTTTCATTTTATTTCTGTGTGTCAGGTTCAATCCTGTGGTTGGTGGTGGGCCTAATGGAAGCATTATACATTATTCTAGAAATGATCAGAAAGTAAATTCATTTAATAAATGCCATCTTCTAGTATGTATAATTTAATGTTTTTAAACCTTTTTAACATGTTTGGCAGATTAAACATGGAGATCTTGTTTTGATGGATGTTGGATGTGAGTTAAATGGTTATGTCAGTGATCTTACTCGTACCTGGCCGCCTTGTGGTAGCTTTTCTTCTGCCCAGGTTAGCATGATTGAATTCCTTTTAGTAATTCTATCATTGCAGGAAAGCTTATTAAGGGTTTATATTCCTTTCATAATAGGCAGTAAATTTATGTTTATATTTCTTTCTTGATTTTAACTCTAACTTGATATCCAATTTATTGATCAACTAATAGCAATCTGAGACAAGCAGACTGCATAGTCTCAATTTTCCATTGCAGACCTCATTCGTGATGGGATGCAATTATATGGATTTTCATTTGTGGACTTACATCTTTTCATTCGTAGTGCTCTTCTTCTGGATCAAGTTTCTGTAATATTTAAAATGTTGAGGGGGTCCATTTTAGTTCAATTCCTCTTTCGGTTGTTGTAATTTGAAATTTTTTTGTTATGACATGGTACTTTCTGAACTTCCTACTCAAGGCTGAGGCTTTTCAACATTAAAATTCATGCTGGTGTGAAATATTAATTTTTTTTGGAGGGGGTTTCCATCTGAACAAATAAAAGGCAGTGCATGAGTATCTTGAACATGATTGGTAGTTTGGTACTTGAATTGGTTCAAGTCTGCACTCTTTATTCTATACTTCAAGACTTGAGGGAAGAAGCATTACTATCTGGCAAATGGCCTCCATGACAAAAGGCAGAAGATGGCATACTAATTGGTCATTAATCATTATAGCCAAAACGAAGATTTTTGTACATAAAAATATATTGGATTGGTGAGATATGCTCTGAAGAATTTGTTCATGGATGGACATTCAATTCGGGATAGATTCTCGCCTCCCCCTGGCCCATCTAACGGGCCTAAAGCTTGCACTTACCCACCATAGTGGGTGGTAATTTGTAATATGAATGGGAACTTTCTCTGCTTGTGCTAGTCTATGACATATAAATGTTTAAAACATAGTTTTTGCTCCTTATTCATGCCCAGTGAAATCTGAGGTAAAATAACACTGCTCGTTCCACTTGTTGCTTTGTTCTTTAAATTAGTCTTATAACTTTTCATATGAATGTTATGGTTTCTTGTATATTTCAGGAAGAGCTTTATGAGCTTATATTGGAAACGAATAAGCATTGTGTGGAACTTTGTAAGCCTGGTGCCAGCATACGTCAAATACACAACTATTCGGTATCTCCTTTTTCTTATCCTTTTTTCAATTTGTTAGAGATGTAATAAAGTCATTTCATTCATGGTATCATAACATTTATTACATTGGTCAGGGTTTGAAGTTCCATCCTTGCCACCCCATGCTTCTAAATAAAAAATGAATTTCAATACAAGGTTGGGTGGGACTATGTATTCTCCATTCTTCAAGTCCAAATGACTATTGCATGAGGGTTGCGTTTGAGATATAATAGTTCCATTTTTTAGCCTTAATCTAATGGCTTAAGATCTTAGGAGAGTTGGTTATTGACACATTTATTAGCAATTATTATCAGAAACTGCGTTTGTTTTCTATTGCTCTTTTGTTTTCCATTATACAATGGGATTGAGAAAACATATCCTTATATCTTAGTCATTCTCAAATCTTAAAACCTTCAAAATGATCTGCTAATTCAAAATGATCTGCTAAGGAATAAGTGATAATTTCACAAGCAACTTATCTAAACAATGAAATTATTTAGGAAATATTTAACTATGTGTAGAATGTATGCTAATTAAGTAAAAATAAATCATCTTAGCTAGTAGCAACTTCACTGGCGTATATTTGGTAATAATATAGCATGCAAAACTGCATATTCTAAAAAATGTTTGATTGAAGAACATTTGCAGTTGTCTCTATTCCAGTATTAGCAAATAAATACTAGATAATGCTTGGTCTCAAAGTTGGATGGCTGTTATTGGGTACTACAGCAGATAATTCTGTTAGTATCTATTTTTTATGTGAGACTCATTCATAAATCTTCTCAATACTGTCATTTGACTAATTCTTATTTTATTCTATGATCAATTGGGAAGATATAGAAGGGAGAGCAGAGACAATTTAATTATATTATATCTGGTTTCCGTCATAGGCTTGTAGAAATATCCAATGACTCAGCTGCATACTTGGGTTTGAATGTATCTGTTGCTTGACTGTAAATTCTGTCTCGAGATTTTAAGTGGCACTGAATCTATATCTTGCTTTTTCTTCACTCGAATGCTATGGTTGAAGCTTCTTTAGCTATAAAACAGTGAGACATGTGAAATGGTCTGGTTGCATAGGTTGAAATGCTGCAGAAAGGACTGAAGGAGATTGGAATTCTGAGAGGCATCGGAAGCAGTTCCTATCATAAGCTGAACCCAACTTCTATAGGTAGCTTTGTGCAACCCTTGACATACAACTTGGTTAATCTTTTCGTTGAAAAAGCATACAAGATATTGCTGCCTTCAGAAAAGTTATTTGTTATTGTAGAGTTTCGTAAGCTACTTTTAAGTTTGAAACAATAAATATGATGATAGCTAATAGAGACTGGTTATATAGTTAATCATGTTTTATAATTATTGGTCTAGGTCACTATCTAGGAATGGATATTCATGATTGTTCAATGGTCAGCTTTGACTGTCCTCTGAAGCCAGGTGTTGTAAGTTACTTTCCTGACTGGACAAGAGTTTCATTTTCTTCCATCTATTTTGTATAAATTTAAGATAATTTCTACCATCGGAAGTTAATATTTAATAATCACTTGTCACTTGTCAGATGTGGGTAGTGGAGATTATCTTTGCCTTATTCTAATAAAATTGTAATGCAGTAGTTTCTGATATATAAACCACTCCCCATTAAACCCCGACTAGCGAGGGTAAGGGTGAGGGCAATCCTTGTACACAGCCTTACCCTTCGGTATTTTCTGATACCGAAATATAAAGATTTTGAATATGGAGAAATTGAAATAAGTAATTTTATATTTTAATACTTATGAAATAACAATATTCGGCAATGCATTTCCAGCAAACTATCTTTAGAATAGTAAGTCTCCACTTCACGTTGTAGATGTTCATAGAAATTCCTTTCCCAGAATAAAGTGCTTAATAAAAAACAGAGTCTGCCATTCTTACATTCTCATAACCAGAACCAACCCAAAAAACAGAACAAAAAAATGTAAATTAAAATATTGTTTTTAGAAAGAAGATAATGTTTGTGTTCTAAAAGAAAGTAACATAGTGGAGAGAATGAATGCATTCTGTACTTTTACTTATTCTCTGTTAATAGACAGTTTAGCACCCATTCGGAGCATATTTCTATCTGTTCAGTACAATCATATCCATTGGTTTCGAAATCAACTGAATGACATTGAAGTGTCTCTTTAAATTAAATAAACAGTGTCACAGATGCACCTGTTCGGTGTTTCTAAATTCTTGTTTGCATTTAAGGTATCTGTTCTTGGTGTCTATTCATGTTCAAAGGCATTTTAATTTTAAGTTTAATATTAATTTATTAGATGATACCTATGGTTCAAAATTTTCTCTCATAGCTGCAGTGCGCTAATTCCAGCTTATGTCTTTCTTTATTTTCAAAACCGTTATATTGAAAGTTAAAGATACTCTCAGGCAACTGGTATAAATTTTTTTTTTTGCTGCATACAAAAGATATAGCTAGTTGAAGGAAGCTTTAGAATTTACACGCTGAGGCACTTTCCTTGGTGATTATCTCAGCATATTTTATGTAATATAAGTACAATATAATTTCTGGCTATACAATTAGACAACCTCATTGCAGTTTTGGTTCTCTGCTTGTATCGACTTATTCATATATACTTTAGCGATGCATATGGACATCATGTATACCCATATTAGCTGACAGCCTGTTCTTTTTAATTTGTGAGCAGGTAATAACTATTGAACCAGGAGTATACATCCCATCTTCTTTTGATGGTCAAGAGAGGTACTTATTGAGGTTGATTAAAGAACTTGTTTTAACAAATTGATTATTACAAAATTGATAATTTCCATTGCTTGCTCCTCTTGTGCAATTTTCCTGGTTCACCAACTATTTCTACGTAACATGCAAATCCATGGGAGTTTCCTTCCATTAACCAGCTTCATGAATTTTACCTCCTCAATTTTTCTTCCTATAATCTGATTGCATATACCAGTATGCTAAAGCTTGAGTTGGATAACCCTGATTGCTTCTGTTTCCAAGGATATTTAGCACTGATTTCCCTGCTTGTTTATTTTCTTCTCGATTTCCTAAGGTCCTGTTTGGTTCAATTGAATGGGTGTGTAAAGGAATGAGAATGAGTTTGTTAGTAGGAATTTTGGAATGACACTGGTCATTGCCCACGGAGTTATTATTCCATCAAAAAAGAGGGAGTAGCCATTCCCTCCAAAATTGGATGGAACTGTATTTCGTTCCATCAAGATTGATTGCAATTACTTTGTACCCTACATCTTTTCCCAAGATGCTAAAAATATCATGTTCCCCCGCTGCTGCACCATGATGGCATGCCTTCACCAACCCCAATTGCCACTACACCACCAGCTCCATACCTGTAAGGGTAGTTTTGGCATAAAAACTGTTTTACTCTACTCTTTTTATTTGGCAGACCAAGTACAGGAATAGAATGGAATAGTCATTTCATCATATTAAACATGCTAATGGAAATGGTTGTTCCTTTCCATCCATTCTCATTCTCATTCCTATTAAAATCATTCCATTGAACCCAATGGGGCCTAAAGTTCTACAGATGTATAGTTCGTAAATTATTGTTGTAAATAATAGTTATTTTCTTATTTATTAATTTATTTGTTGTATTGGGCCAAGCCCATTAGGTCAAGTACTAGGTCTTTTATTCTCTATAAATAGAGAACCCTTTGTACAGATTATTTACAATTCTATAATATATCAGAATACCCTTTTTCAAGTTGGTATCAGAGCTCTCGATTCTAAGGGTTCTGCTTCCGCAAATCACCGTCTTTAAAAACCAAACCCTATTTGCCTCTCGCAGCTGTCAGAAAAAATTTTCCGGAGACATTTTGGACCGTGAGGACCCCTATTTCACTCCGTTTTTCTTAGATCTATCATTCTACGGAGGTTTCTTTTTCATCAGACGACCGGAACAACTCAAAAATACTGTCCATCGCGCACTGTTCATGCGGTACTGTTCATGCGGTATTGTTCACCGGGTACTGTTCACGCGGTACTGTTCAAATTTTTTTTTTTTTTGTTTTTGTTTCCTTTACCCGGATCTGTGTTTTTCTCTCTGATCTGACGTCGTTTGGGTGTCCGTTGTGTGTTCTTTGGTGTTGTTTTTCACTCTTTCTTATCACTATGGCCAATTTAGAAGATGGTTCTCCATATGTGAATATTCAGCAAAGGGAGTTGGATCGGCTTAAACCCGCTATTGATAATATGTGTAAGCCATCTGACCGTTCTTTGATCTTGTCTGGTAAGAGTACACGTTCTACATCTCTTCTTGCTTCTTGCTTCTTGCACTGATTTTAAAACCTCATGGATTTTGGATTCTGGTGCAACTGATCATATGGCTTGTCGTACTGAGTTTTTTCGTTCTTATCATCCTACTGTTGGTAGTCATACTATATCCGTAGCTGATGGATCCCATAAATTAGTTATTGGTTCTGGTAACATTCAAATTCAACCTTCCTTGTTTCTTAAAAATGTTCTTTATGTTCCTCAGCTTTCTACTAATCTTATCTCCACTCAAAAACTTACAACTGATTTGAATTGTTCTATCACATTTTTTTCCTTCTCATTGTGTTATTCAAGATCTTACCACGAAGAAGATAATTGGAGTTGCTAATGAGCAGGATGGGTTGTATCATCTCCTTCCAGAACATGCTATAAATGATAGCAAAAATCAGTTATTAATGACACGTCATCCTTCTACTGCAGAGTCTATGATTTGGCTCCATCACAAGCGTCTGGGGCATCCACCATTCAGTCTATGTTTCCTTCTCTGTTTCTTAATCAGTCGGTTGAGACCTTTTATTGTGATGTTTGTGAATTTGCAAAACACCATCGAGTGTCATTTCCTGCTAGCACTATTAAAAGCAGCAAACTTTTTTCTCTTATCCATTCTGATGTTTGGGGCCCTTCTAAAGTGTGTAGTGTTTTAGGTGCAAGGTGGTTTATTTCTTTTATTGACGATTGTACTCGGGTAACATGGATATTCTTGATGAAAGACAAGTCTGAAGTACCAGAGATATTTATTCGGTTTCATCACATGGTTGAGACTCAGTTTGGTAAGTGTATTAAAAAGACTAAGATCTGATAATGGTACTGAGTACGTCAACCAACGCCTGTCACAATTCATTTCAGACAGAGGTATGATTCATGAGTTCACATGTGTTGATACCCCTAAACAAAACGGGGTTGCTGAAAGAAAAAATCGTCACCTCCTTGAAGTTGCTAGAGCACTACTTTTCCAGACATCTGTTCCTAGTTCTTATTGGGGAGAAGCCGTGTTAACTGCAACCTTTTTGATCAACCTTTTACCTTCACGGGTCCTTAACAATACCAGTCCTATTCATTCCATGACTTCCTTCTTTCCTTCTGTTCCCATATTGCAGAGCCTTCCACCAAGAGTGTTTGGATGTGTTGCCTTTGTCCATGTTCATAAACAACATCGGAGTAAGTTGGGTCCTAGGGCTCTTAAGTGTGTCTTCCTTGGTTATACCCCTTATAAAAAAGGATACAAGTGTTATCATCCACCAAGTCAAAAATTTTTTGTTTCTATGAATGTCACCTTTCAAGAATCTGAATCTTATTTCTCGGGTCTTCATCTTCAGGGAGAGAACAGTTCTTCAGAAGACTCATCCCCTTCCTTCTTTGAGTCTGGATCAGTCTTGTCTACTCCTACACCTCTTCCTAGTGTGTCTGCTCCTGGTGTGTCAGAACCTTCAAATACATCAGTCTTGTCTACTCCTACACCTCTTCCTAGTATGTCTGCTCCTGGTGTGTCAGAACCTTCAAATACACATGAGATACGAAAGATTTTGACACCTGAATTGGCATATCAGAGGAGGAAACAACCCATACTGTCGCACCAGCAACCTCAATCGTCTGAACCACTGGTAAGTCCTGAATCTCCTATTTCTTCTGAATCTCCTGTTTCTGATTCTAATATTATTGCCTCTCATGATTTGTCTATTTCTTCTGATATCTCTAATGACTTACCGATTGCTTCTGCTTCTGATGACTTACCTATTGCCCTAAGAAAAGGGAAGAGATCTTGTACCAAGAAATCGTGTTCCTCTTGTCCCTCTTGTACTCAATATCCTATCTCCTATTTTGTTTCTTCTACTAATCTTTATGTGCAGCACAAAAACTTTGTTTCAGCACTAGATTCTATTTCAATCCCAAAATCAGTACATGAAGCATTGAAAGATGGGAATTGGGCTCAAGCCATGCAAGAGGAGATGAATGCGTTGGAGAAAAATAAAACATGGGAGGTTATTGATAGACCCAATGAAAAGAAAGTAGTAGGGTGCAGATGAGTGTATGCCCTGAAGTATAATTCTGATGGTACTCTTGAGAGATATAAAGCTCGATTAGTCGTCAAAGGTTACACTAAGACCTATGACATTGATTATGAAGAAACCTTTGCTCCAGTTGCAAAGATGAATACGGGGAGAGTCTTGTTATCCCTTGCTGCTCATTACAATTGGGATATAAATCAATTTGATGTGAAGAATGCTTTCCTTAATGGTGAGTTAGAAGAAGTCTACATGGAAATCCCTCCTGGTTTTAATTCTGTGAATGGAGAAAATAAAGTTTGTAGATTAAAAAAGGCCTTGTATGGATTGAAGCAGTCACCTCGTGCCTGGTTTGGAAGATTTACTAAAGTTATGATGATCTTAGGATACAAACAAAGTCAAGGAGATCACACTCTTTTCTTTAAGCACTCCCAAGATGGGAAACTCACTGTGCTCCTTGTATATGTTGATGATATTATTATCACTGGTGATGATTTTGTGGAGAGACATATTCTGCAAACAAGACTAGCATCTGAGTTTGAAATTAAAGACCTTGGGAAACTGAGATATTTCCTAGTGATAGAAGTAGCTCATTCAAAAAAGAAATTTTTATCAGCCAGAGGAAATATGTTCTTGATCTTCTCAAAGAAGCAGGAAAGCTCAGGTGTAAACCCTCTAATACTCCTATTGAGCAGAATCACAAGATAGACTATGAAGAAGAGAGTCCTCCACTTGATAAAGGACAATATCAACGACTAGTTGGGAAATTGATATATCTGGCTCATACTAGACCATACTTAGCTTATGCTGTTAGTGTTGTCAGTCAGTTTATGCATGATCCAAAGGAGAAACAAATGCAGGCAGTGGAGAAAATTCTTCAGTATCTTAAAGCTATTCCTGGTAAAGGACTGTTATTCCGACGTGATGGAGATCTTTCTTTAGAAGTCTACACTGATGCTGATTATGCTGGATCTGTGACTGACCGTCGTTCTACCACTGGTTATTGTATGTTTCTTTGTGGTAACTTGGTGACGTGGAGAAGTAAGAAACAAGATGCGGTTGCCAGATCAAGTGCAGAGGCTGAATTTCGAGCTATGGCTCAAGGTATCTGTGAGTTACTGTGGCTAAAAATTGTACTTGATGATCTCAAAATAAAATGTGAGAGACCTATGAAGTTGCTATGTGATAATAAGTCCGCTATTTGTATAGCTCATAATCCAGTTTAACATGATCGGACTAAACATATTGAGGTCGACCGTCATTTCATTAAAGAGAAACTTGATAGCGGGTTGATTACCACTCCATACATTCCCACTGGACGTCAATTAGCTGATGTATTGACAAAGGGACTTCCTTCAGACAGATTTTAAGAGCTTACTAGCAAGCTGAGAATGATAAATATCTATTCCTCAGCTTGAGAAGGAGTGTTGTAAATAATAGTTATTTTCTTATTTATTAATTTATTTGTTGTATTGGGCCAAGCTCATTAGGTTAAGTATTAGGTCTTTTATTCTCTATAAATAGAGAACCCTTTGTGCAGATTATTTACAATTCTATAATATATCAGAATACCCTTTTTCAAGTATTATTTTATCCATCATGTGATATATAACCATTTTTGGATCTTCAATTTTTTATTTGGGAGTTAAGAATATTATTTATTAAGTTAATCTGTTTCAGTTGTTGTACAAGTTGTACAGTTGAGCTTAACATAAAATGACTTTTATTTATTTATCGACTGTATTCTACTTGTTATATATTTTTGGTCATATAGGTATCGAGGCATTGGTATAAGGATTGAGGATGAGGTTCTCATCACCGAAACAGGTTATGAGGTAATTTTTTTTTTTTTATTTATTATTATTATTATTATATCAGTATTTTAATTTAAGCTAGTTCATCAGTTTGTGACAATTCGAGGAAATGTGTTGATTCCACTTCTTTTGAGCGTTAGAATAATGACTGAAAGATCTGTATGCCATTTGCAATGAGTCAAGTCAATTTCTTAAGGAGAACTCCAAAAATGGAATCTGTGATAGAAAAATTTACCATGAAAAAACGAAATAACAATTCAAGTTTGAAGTTAATACTTTATCCTTTTTTTTGAAATAAAAATAAAAATACTAAGCATATGCCCATATGAAACTGTTGGTAGCTGTCAAAACAGGATGGTTCTTAACTCTATCAATTATACTTTTCGATTTCATCTAATTTTAGCTTGAAACATAAGCACGAATCCTTAATTTCAAATAGCAGTTTGATTTTAATCCATTATTAGGGTAATTTTTTACATTATCACACAGTCATGTGGTGAAAAATAGTTAGGAGAGTTTTACGTACTAAGTAGTAGTTGTCAAAGCCAAACTCTTAATAATGTCACAATGCATAATTGCATGATGGGGATTGCTATGGCACGCTTATTTTCTTTTAGGATATTGGTGTCCTTTGGTATTTATTGGTTGTTGGTTCTCACAATTAATGTTTGAAATCCATAAAGTATGAGAGTTTCGGGTATGGATTCTCTAATGTTAAATTTTCACATTACATTTTTATGTGAAAGTTGTGTCTATATGTCTCTTCATATATATTCATAAATTTGAATAAGGCTCTCCCTATTTAGTACATATAAAGAGAGAGACAGAAACAAAAATTTCAAATAACAAGTTATGTGAAATTTTAATATGAGAGGCACATTTCCAATAATTTCTTAGATACACTTAGTTGTTTTATGGGAATGAATTATCTCATGTTAAAATTTCACATAACCTTATCATCTAAAATTTGTGTCTAACTCTGACTTCATAAATATTTACAAATTTTGATAGGGTCCCTCAGTTGCCCTGGGCCATCATTGTCTAGTCAGAAACCAATAAATACTTGACATCTAATTAAGGATATTGGTACCGTAGAAAGTAATCAAGGTACTGAAGTAATCCGCAAGAGTGATTGTGTAACTGAATCAAAATTAAATCCTCGAGGGCTTGTTTGGTGTGATGTATAAGGCTTTATAAACTTATACTATACGTTATGACATTTTCAGTTGTTTGGTGTGACCATCGTATAGTATAAGCTTATACAGCAGAACTCCTTAATACATCAAAATGATGTATAACTTAATCAGGCCTAGGGAGTGAGATTAGGCCTGATAAGGGGTTGGTGTATTAATATTGCTTACAAATACAATTCTCAAGAACTAATATATCATTTCAATATTAATATATTAAAATCATTTTTTTTAATATATTAATTTTTAAAATATTGGAGGATATTATCTTATACAATACCATACCAAATGCTGGATAGTATTAAAATTTAATCAGGTCTTATCCAATACTATGCACCAAACATGCCGATATTTACCAACTTGGATGCATTAACTTTATCCAAGTACTTTGTACAACTAAATTTATTTTATGATTATTAAAATAAACCAGCCATTTGAAGCAACAATCCTACTGTGACTTCTTGGAATATATATGGACGAAACTGTTAACATGTTTATTATTTCTTACACCTCATCTATGGAAGGTGAGTAAAAAATAATAGATATGTATTGTATTTATTGGGAAACAGTTCCACAAGAAGCTAAAAAACTTTAATTAACTTATGTCCTACATATATACATATATATACTGCTGACCGTGAATACTAATATTGTTCTACACAGGTACTAACAGCATCAATTCCAAAAGAAGTGAAGCACATTGAGTCCTTGCTAAACAATTTCTGCTATGGAATAGGGATTGATAGCCAAAATAACTTGAGAGCTACATCCAATTGATATTGTCCAGACACATACAAGAACTAGGACAGTCAATGCTTGAGATGTGCATGGTGTTGTCCTAATTCTAGGAGCGGTAACTCAATTATTTTTATCCTTTATTTTTTGGCCTCCTGCATATTTACTTCAACCTGGGCAGCATGTACTCTACAAGACTACAATCTTGAGGGGGGAAATCAAGAGAAAATTGTGGACAATTAGTTGTTCATTTCCTGCCTGGTATTTCATTGCTGTAAATGATAGATGATATCATGAAAATATGCCAACTCCTGATAAATTGTTCACAACAGTTTGAATGTAATCTTTTACACAAACTCTGACAAATATAGTAATAATCTGGAGAAACCCTCTATGAGAAGATTTGGTGAAGTCAAACCCTACATAAATTAAATCATTACAAAGCTAACAAATATATTAAATAGTCATTTAGGTCAGTTGCTAACTTTCCAATCTTCATTTGGATGTATAAACAAAATTATTGGTTCATTTGAGGAAACATGCACTGTCTTCGTATAAACTATGGGATCAATAACTCCTATGAAGGGAGTTAAGGAGGGAATGAGTTTTTGCTTTTGTTGTGTTTGGAAATATTATAAATTATTTGATTTGAAAATTAAATCTCATGTTTAGAACTCATTATAAAAATTTGGATTTGAATTATTTTGGAATTATTTCTCATACTTGGTACAGAGTAAAAATAAAAAAAATAAAAATAAAATTGATTTGATTTTATTATTTACATATTTGGCCTTATAATATGAAATTTTCATATAGAATTAATAAAATACAATAGTCTATCTATTTGAATCAAATCAAATTCTAACAAATATTATATTTAACCGGATTTCTAAATGTAAACCATTAAAATTCATTGGAACTTAAAATCAAATCATTTCTTATAATTTAAAATCTCAAATATAAAAGTAAGTTTATAAATCAAATATTTTTTTTTTGCATTGGAAACCCTCTTTTGTGTAAATAAATAAATGAACATATAAACAAATGTCATAAATGCTTTATGCAGTGTAGGATTTGCTTAATCTATAAGCAAAGCAGTGATAAAATAAAGGAGTTGCAAATAAAACCCTGATGGTCTGTACTCGAAAGCGAATTATTCTTTTCTTATTGTCCTTTTTTTAGGTTAAAGATTTACCGGTATGAATTTCACTTATTATGATACCAAACGTATAAATGCTTAGGAAGAGGAAATACAAGAGAACATATTGTCTTCACTCGCAAATTCTGAATAATTTTTAAAAAACAAGCTTATTTAGAGGTAAAATATTTCAAGAAAAAAGAGATTTATAGTATTTTTTGCGCGGATAATTGATAGTAAATTTTAATGTAAACAAATTTAATTTGTTGATACAAAAAAAATTTGATTAAATTTTGACACAAGTTGTTTATATTATTATTTATTCATATATCGTGTTGTTATATTATTAAAGCAGTGGTTATGATACTAACAATGTGAAAAATAATACTTTTTTTCAAGGGTGTCAAAGTAGATAATGATACAAAATAATTCTATAGATAATAAAATTAAAATAAATTAAGTACTAAATAAATATGATTTGAAAGGTTGTTGGTGGTGGGGAGCTAGGTAGAAGATATGGCTGCCCATCCATTCACCACAAATGTAGCCCCAAAATAAATATGTCACCTTCCCAACCAAATTACACGTCAAGCTTTCTCATTGGCTTTTGCCTCCAACTCTTTATTCTGCATTAAAATTTCAACTGTATCATGCAAGAACCGTTTCAAGAAATTTCAACCAAAAAAATTTGAAATAAAAAAAAACGATTTTGTATAATATCGAAGGAAACACGTAACTAACAATAGCCCGGTAGTTCATACACATTACCCTGTGGGTCTCGGTTGCTATTACTCTCTCTTCTTCTAGTTTGCTGCTACAGACTTTGAACTAGAGTATTCATGTTAACATGGTATTTTTTAAGTCTTCTATTCTTAAGTTAGTGTATAATCTAGACTCTAAAAATGAGAAATTGGATTATTTTAGTATTTGGAAGTATAATTTATATAAATTTTTTTCAAATGACAAACTTTATAATAAGTTAATCCTTTCTTCTATTGATATTAGTGGGATGTAACGAAAGCGCTACCGTGGAACATTAAGTACACGTGTAATTTTATTTGCCAGTGTTTGAGAATTTTTGAGATTTTACATAAATATGAGACATTCATTTGAGGAGAATGGTGGAAAAATTCCAATCTTTTCGAGTGTTTTAGAGATTTGTAGTTTATATATTCTATTTAAGCAATCTATTGGCAAAGACATCACATGTGTGTACTTAATGTTGATTTTCAACGTTTACATTATGTTCCATTAAAACTAAGTGTCATGAAGTTATCATTTGAGGGACCAATTTGAATAGACACACATTTTCACCAACCAAAATTACACAATTCTTCATTTTTTATTTTTAGGAAAGGGATTTTTGCATAAAAAATATATGGATGATAATTTTTAACCCCAACTCATTTGACATGACATGAAAAATTCATGTTTGGGTTAACTTACTGTTAAATTCATATTATATTTGTAACTGCAAAATTTGATATAAAAAAAAAATTATGTTATGTTACGTGTTAATCCATACATACAACACTGACCCATATTAATTTTTTTTTATATTAATTGTATCGTGTTGACTCGCAAAATAAGTGTATCATATTTATATCGAAGGTTTTGATACAAATCTTTATTCATGTTATATTGATGTCGAGTGTAATAACATTCATCTCAGATCTCGACCCAACACAAACTACCATCCCTAAACAGATAGTGTTGCGAAGCAACTTAGAAATCACATATTTGAATAATATATTTAGCAATTGCAAGTGTAAGGTAAGACGGCCACTGTGTAAACCACACAGTATGTCTAATCCTTCCCTACCTACACATGATATTGTCCTTTTTTTTCTTGTTGTGGCATTCATTACGTCAATTTTCATAAATGTTTGTTATGTTTTTATATATATTTTTAACATGGCGCATATGAAGTAAGTAAAATTGGCATCCTTATATGTTAACAAATTCAGAACAAAATTTAAAAGGAACAAATGTGTTTTCTGTTTAGAAAATTAGACATACTGTTAGGTGACCTAAGAATTCTTCTTAATTAAAAGCTAAAAGAAAAAAAAAAACCACTAAAGATGATAAACCTATAATCTGAAGAGCCTAACATTTCTTCTTAAATAAAAAACTATTTTTATAATAATTTAGTAAAAAGCTTATAAATGAGACACCAAAACAAATGGGCGTAAAAGGACACTGGCACCTTCCCTAAAACATTAAAATCTGATGTAGCTACGAAAGAGAGAGCAACAAATTAAGGGAGAGAGACCTGCTTCAAACATATTCTAATAAGAGAAATGCTGATAACACGTAATCTTTTTTTTTAACATATCAGTAATTATGAATGACAGTGGCATTTAAAGCACCCGTTTTCCTTACCCGCTACCTTAATAACGAACAACTACTGATTATACTACAAATTGATGACAAATTTTTTTATAGGAGAGTGGCATTTGTTGAAGTTTATGGGATATAGAAGGGCAATGTCATATATTCAGAACTATATTAACACCCCCTACGTCCTTGACCCTTTCACAACCGCATTACCTTAAACTGATCCAAATATCAAGAAAAAGAAAAAAAAAACATCAGAAAAGATGTCTCTAGTCACTGATGAGATCAGAGCCAAAGCAGAGGTTTACCATGGAGATGTCATATGCCAAGAAAAGTCCAAGGAACTTCTCGATGAAATAAAGCTACCCAAAGGTCTTTTGCCCTTGAAAGACATAGAAGAATGTGGATACAATAGGGAGATTGGGTTCGTGTGGCTTAAGCAGAAGAACACTATAGAGCACAACTTTGAGAAGATTGACAAACCAGTAACCTATGCTACTGAAGTCACAGCCTATGTTGAGGTTGGTAAGATCATGAAGCTCACAGGTGTGAAGGCTAAGGAACTAATGGTTTGGCTTACACTGAGTGATATATTTGTGGATGATCCACCAACTGGTAACATCACATTCAAGAGTCCTACAGGGCTTTATAGGACATTCCCAGTAACAGCTTTTGAACTTGAAGAGGAAACAAAGGATGCCAAGGAACAAGAAAACAAGGAAGTCAAAGAAGCAGCTGCTGCTGCTGCTGTTGAAGTCAAAGAGGTCTGAATTATGATGCCGTGGCTATGAGTTTTTTTTTTCTTATTTAATAAGTTGATTTGTAGTCTTGTATTGCAATAAGTTGTGTCATCGTTTCCATTTTTCTTGCTATAGAGCTAGGCTTGCTATGTATCAGGTTCACAACCTTGATAGTGCAGCTAGCTCTGGAATAAAAAAATGAATTGTTACCACAGATTTAAAAAAAAAAAAAAAAAACCTGAATTTGATACATGGAGTTCGGTTTACCGAAGATTGATGTTGAGCAAATTTAAATATTTTATTTAGAAGTGTTTATCTTTTTAGAGAAATATTATATTTACAAACTATTTTCTGTTTACAAACTACCTTATATCTTATTGGTAAGATACATTTGAGTGAATCTTATCAGTAAAACATAGTGTAGTTTACAAAAAAAAAAATAATTAAGATAGGAGAATGATATTGTGACAACCAAGTTGTGTTACTACCAATCAATCTTATCGTTAGATCGATTATATTGATCCAACGGTTATATTTATTTCCATCTTTGTATGGTCATGATTTTCCAAATTTAATACTTTATATTTATTTTCACCTTTGTATGGTTATGATTTCCCATATTTAATGCTTTCACTTTAAATATGGGAAATCATGACCATACAAAGATGGAAATAAATATAACCGTTGGATCAATATAATTGATCTAACGGTAAGTTTGATTGATAGTCACTTGGTAGTAACACAACTTGGTTGTCACAATATCCTTCCCCGTTAAGATAACCCTCCTCCTATCCAGAGGCGGACCGAGTAGCGGGGTTAGGGTGGGCCCTCGCCCCCTTAAATTTGGGAATTTTTTTATATATTATATGTAAAAAAATGTGATGATGAAACTATTGTGTTGTACATGCTTTTCCTTTCAGTTTTCCATGCTTCTTCTCACGCTTTTACCAGAAATATCTATAGTACTACTATTGTACCATTCGCTCAGTGCATCTATCCAATAAAAAATGAGAAATAATTATCATGCTTGTATAGAAAGGAGAGAAAAATATTTTTTTTTATCCAAGTGTCACCTGTTAAATGGCAGATATACCTACTACAAATGTACAAAAGATGACCTCGCTCTTACCATATATTTCTTTGATTACATGCATTGAAAAAGAAATTATTTTGAGTTTTAGCACGAATTTAATTATAGATGAGTTTAACTATATGAAAACAAGTAGAGCAAGAGTCAACTGAAATGATATTAAGTTCTGTAATAGATTTTTTTTTTGATTTTTTGTATATTAAATTTGTATTGTATTTTGAGTACTTTTATTTATGATATAATATTTTTTATTTTCGTCCTTTCTTATTAAAATTTCTGCGTCCGCCACCGCTCTTATCTTTAATACTTACAATATGACGAGGGAAAGAATCTTGATATTACGGTTTTATTTATTAAAATACATAAAAATTATTTGTTATTAATATTTTCTTTTTCTTACTCTCATTTTGTGTGTCTACGGTATCTCTTGTCATTTCTATTAATTCACAATTTTTCTTCTTATAAAATATAGAGGGTGATCACAATAACATCAACTTATTCCCGAGGTGTTGGAATCAGCTGACGGTAAACTTAAAATAAAATTAAGATTAAATTGAGGGAAAAAAATAATAAAAGATAAAATAAAGCAATAAATATAAAACATGATTAAAAAGACAGTACGAAAATAATGTGTGCCATTGAACATTTTGTGAAAGTAATAATAATAATGGTCAGAAGAGAATTTTAATCATTCGTGATCAAATCAATGGTATTTTAGTATCAAAAAATAAAAAATAAAAAATCAATGGTATTCCATCATTTTTCTCTGTCATTTCTTATCATCTTTAATTTATTCATGAATGATTATAATTCTTTCACATAATATGATAGTGTTAAATAAGACATCGGGGAATCTATTCCCACAATTAATCTTTTATTTTTCAAAATAATTTTGATATAAAAATGAAGGCTTTAATATTTCTAAAGCGAATGTAGATAAGTTATTTACATTCGCTCCCAAAACAACGTCATTTTGAGTTGAAAAATTAAAAAATTATAATGAAAAAGACTATTATAACCCTGAAATAAATTATAATTACAAAAATATCTTGATTTCCGCCTCAAAACAACGTTGTTTTGAGCTCCCTGTAAATAAGTTATCTACATTGACTGTAGAAAAAGCGAACCCAAAAATTAAACAACAATTTTTTATTTTTCGAAACAACACTTCAAAGGCAGATAAAAAAAAAAAAGAACCGTTTCGAAGAAATATAAGGAGTAATCGGTTATATATAGAGATGTTTCCTTCAGAACCAAACATCAAAATAAATACAGTGATAAAAAAATTAAAGAAGTAATCAGCGAATTTGTGACTTAATTGGTACGCAATATTTATTTAGTTGTCGAACTAAGCCAACATAAGAACAAAAGAAAAGTCACATATGAAGGCAACAGATTGGACTATTTTAGACATCACATGCTTTTTCATCTTGTCAAACCGATAGAAATAACAATACTATAAGAAGGAGAAATCATAATCACAAGCAGCATTCGAGAATTATAAATTTTTTTACTGCACTGATATAGCAAACCGGAATGCTTGGCAAGGAAAGGCAGGTCCCCACACTAATGGCACAACTTGCAATTCCGAAGTTTGTAATGAAAAACGTCTGAAGATTTTGTAACTGCATACGTAGCTTGTAGCTGGCACACTAATTCAAATCTAAAAGTCAACCTCTAATAGTAAACTACATAATCGGGAACCTAAAAAGGCCATTAGCATATCGAGCAAGTTGAGTTCAAGTTTTGATTCGTAGGAACTAGGAAGTCTTAAATATACGGAAGTTTTATTCTCATTATTGCAGTTAGTAGGAATCCTGGCCAGTGACTAGACTGAAACTGGGTTTTCTCTTCTATCTCTTGCTATCTTCAGCGATCACAACTTCAATGCCTGAAACAAGTTTAAACCAAACGCATTGCAAGGTTAAGATCTTCAAAACAAAAAATATCTTTGCATGCTCAAGACTAGAATTTGATAAGTTGGTTGATCCAAAGAGGTCAACCCAAGGTGTGGAGGGTATATTCTCGCAGGAATATACAAAGGAAGATTGGATGCTAGTAATGAGGTAGTTAGGGGGTTTAGGAAGTTGTATAAATAGAATTATATTTGCTGGTAATGGTGGCAGATTGAATGTTATTGTGATTGAGAGTTATCTCGTTGTGAAGGGAACATTTCCTTTATAAAGAGTGAAGCTCATTCTTCATTTTCCATAATTAATAATACAGAGTCGTGTACAATGACCTTAACCTGCAAATTAGGGAATTACGAAACAATTAAAGATTTAATTGTAATTTATGAGAATTAATTAGACGAGAGGTCTAATTAGAAAAATTAAAGTTACCTTGTGAAAAAGGTTGAATAGTGACAGTTTATTGGGTGAAAATGTGGATAGACAAAGTTACCCGAAAGATAAAAGTAAAATAGTGAATATTATCACAAAAATATTATAAGCCAATGTGACAAGTTTGAAGGGGAGTTAAGTGAGCAAGATAGATAAATTTATATTCACTTGGATAACATAACTCACTTAAGTTGTGTTTCAAACACACACAACCCTCATTTTTCTCTCTTCTCCCGTCCGATGCCCCCTCTTCTTCAGCCAAAGAAGAGCTTTTCTTCTTCTCCTCATTGTGCTCATTCATCCCTTAAGAAACAAGAGAGAATTACCATCATTGTTCATCCTCCATCACTCTCTTTCCTTCCTTTCATCTTGTGAGTGGATTTTGAGAGAGAAAAACTTATTCTAGAGGACTGCCATTTCGGTTTTGGAGCTGGGAGGAGGTGTATTTTGTGATTAAAAACTTGGGTTGTCTTCAATCAAGTGTGTGAAGCCTCTAAGTAAGGTTGTATAATCTTTCCCCTTTGAATTTTTGAAAATATCATGACTTAGGGTATGAAAAATTAGGGATTTGATGGTATATGAGTTGAAGTATGAAACTATGTGTAGAAAAGAGTTGAGTTTTGGGGTTAAGTGACCATTTATGCAGAAAATTACTATTATTTTGGCCTCCAAGAGGGATTCGAATCCCCACTATTAAAATGGCAAAATTCAGCTTCTGTAAGGGAGGGATACAAATCCTTTTCGAAGGAATTTGAATCCCCACTGTTGTAATAAGGACAGCACATAGGGCTATAACCCTATATAATCTTAGAACCATTGGGTAAGTAGATTAAGAGAAGTTTCATTTAGAAAGTTGTTGTCACGTTGCTGAAAATTCAGTTTGAAGCAGTCAGCTTGCGACAAACATATCTTGAGTGGTACAAGTCCAATCGAGGCATATAATATGTTGTTGAAAAGCTCAAGATATCTAGTTTAAAATAGTAAAATCTAAGAATTAATGGAAAGGGAATTCAATACCATTTTTAAAAATGGTGAGAGCGGTTTAGTGCCAAACTTAACAATAGAGTTTATTTCTTTGGTTTGTTCTTCAGTGAAAGGACTCATGGACCCTATTGTGCTAGTAAAAGATATTCTACATTATCATAGGTTAATTAGTGATAATGATATCGCAAGTAATATAGATTCATAATGAGTATGAATAGTAAGTAGTGATAATGATACTTGTAATTACTAGTTTTATAATTATGGTACGATTTGTGTTATTAATCATACTTGCATCTTGTGATAGGTGGCACCAATGAGAAACTAGTGTGGACCATGTGGTTATTACCCTTGGATACAAAGAGTACATTGGACGACATTGCTTTGACAAGTAAGCTTTCGGTCCTGGGGGTTAATCCCTCGTTTGTTCCATCAGACTCCAAGGAAGGATAGTTCTTTCAAATGGTATGTTGAAAATGAACGGTTAATAATACATGTAATTGTATGTATGTTTGTGTACCACACAAGACGGTGTTTCCTTGTATGAGGCATAAGACAATGTTTCCTTATGCATAGTATGAGACGATGTTTCCTCATTCAGGTAAGTTGCAAGATGGTGTTTCCTTGCGTAGTGCATACATGTTGTATTCTCTGGCCAGTAGAATTCATTATTGTACACATGCATTGATATACATATTCTGATGCATACATGATTTTTATACTATGGTTATACCTGAAGTGAACTTTGGGGTGAAGGAGCCCTCCAAGGACCCCTGGCTTACTAAGATGATTATATTATCTCATCCCGCGTTATGGGGATTACCATTTCAAGTACAGTGACAGATGGTGCTGAGGCATCGCATGGCAAGAGGCCAGGACAGTGAAGTGACATGAAATTATAGATTTTATTTTGATATTTACATGGCATGATTCATGAGTTTTATTATCATTTGAGATATATATGTCATGTTATTCTTTTGGAGAGCATAGAGGATGTCTATGCCTATGTTGCATAAACTTGTATATTATGTTTAGAGAAACGTGTAGATTTATACAAGATATGGATTGTATTTACATGCCTAAGAGATATGCTAATTGTATGGAGTAGATACTTGAGCCTTAAATTGACAACGATTGTTTAATTAGTCATTCGCATGGAGCCTTTGATATAAAATTCATGGATGTATTCTAGATTGAAGAAATGAGATATACTGTCTATCAGGTGATGTTGGGACGGTGCGAATTATCCCTAGATGTCCGAATTACAGACTGAATGCCGTCAAATTTATTTTAAAAAGATATGAGGTGCTTGAAGGTATCAAGTAGTTTTAATTGAACAAGAAATAATTAGCTAATTGCAATATATAAGAAAGAAAAAGTTTATTCACGTTTTTATGTTAAGACTAAAAGTGAATTATAAAGCAAGCTTCCGTGTTTAACTAATTAAACATGTTGCGTTCAATACCATTATTGATGTTAACAAAACGGTTCTAGACAAGGTGTTACATCGTGCTTTCTTCATCACCTTTATTCTCTGCTTGTTAGTTTCCTAGCCCCCCAAATCGTAACAGTGGTCCGACCAGCTGAATTCAAATCGGCTATTCCCTGAAGCACATAGCAAATTGGGAGAAGAAATTTGAGGGCCCGGAAGATTATTGTTTAACTGTTAGGGGGTGTTTGGTAGAAAGATAAATTTTAGATTCACGAAAAACTGATATTGAGAATCTTATTTACTCACGTTTGGTTTAAGGATTATGAAAATTTTCCTGAGAAAATCATATTCCCAGTATTTATTTTTGTGAAGGAAAATCCCATTGAAGAATACCACCGGGTTTGGTTCCCACCCGGTGGAAAATTTTCCCAAATTTTTTATGTCTAAAATACCCTTAGCCTCATAGATCCGCTCGTTCGCTTTTCGGTTCCACCATCCATTGAACAATACTTTTCTCTAGTCAGGTCAGCTCTTATTCTTCTTCGTTTCTCTCTTTCATTCTCATTCTCCACTATCTCTATCTTAACGCTTTCTTCTTCCCATCTTTTCAACCTTATCCTTTCATTCTTTGTCCCTAATTAACTCCCACCATCTAATTCCAGATCTCATTTTCCTTAACTTCATGACCTGATTGTTTTTGCTTTCTACTTTTATTCGTATTTAAAAATTATAAGTTAGATTCATTAGAACCCTAAATATGAGATTGGTAATGTAAGTCATTGGAATTTGGAACAAAGGGCTTTCTCCAAATCTTGCCTTTTTTTCATGTTTATAAGGTTGATTATGTCTGTATCCTAATACATAATGGCAAAACATGGTTGGTTATATATCTGATTTGGTGAATGTTTAGAAAACTTGGTTATTTCTCTTCAGGTTGTGATTTGAATGGAGGGAACCAAAAGCCGCAGTGTCTTCGCTGCTTCACCGGCCAACCAATATTGGCAGCAATATTCTAAGCTCATAGCAATATTAAAGGGTAGTTTTGTGAAATCAGTCCATATTCCCAGTAATAATTGACAATCAATCAAACATAGAATCAGGAAACTTGAACCAATATTCCTGGAAATATTTTGGCTTACCAATCAAACAAATTTCCTGGGTAGTATTCTCGGGAAATTCACTTTCCCAGCATATTCCTGGGAAATGCGATTAATAGGAACAAAAAAATCTCTCCTCTACCAAACGCCACCTTAAGGCTTGGATGCGAAAGATGGAGGGTGACCCCATAGACATCACCTCTTATGAGCGTGAAGCCAATCACAGCAAGGCTTTCAATGCAGGGGATGACATGAGTTCTAGCTCAGTCGATAAGCATTCTTTGTCTCACAAGATTGAGCTCCCAAGTTTCGAAGGCAATGATTCATTGAGGTGGATTAGGGTTGGCAATCTTTGACCCGACACTCTAACACGACATGAAAATTCATATTTGGGTTGACCCATATTTAACTTTGTGTTGTATTTGTGTTGGCAAAATATAACACGCAAAAATTCTTGTCATGTCGCATGTCAACATGTAAACACGAATTTGACCCGTATTTTTTTGGTTAATTACCATTTTGGTCCATAAATTTATAATTATTCTTTTCGTGTCGTGTTAACCTGCATAAAAAGTGGGTCATGTTAGTGTTGAGAACTTATAAATTATTCGTGTCGTGTTCATGTAGAGTGTATTCATGTTTGTGTTAAGATCATGTCATGTCAACCCGAATTGCCACCCCTAGGGTGGATAATGGATAACAAGGCTAAGAAATTCTTTGAGCTTAAGGATATTTCTCTGTAGGAGAGTGCATTACACCCTTATTAGCATGGAAGCGGAAGCGATGCACTGGATTAAGTTCTTGAAAAAGAAAATATCGAATCTTGATTGGGAATTGGGGAGTTTTGAGTCTCTCAAACACTCAAAAAATTATCCTTGTTTCTTTTTCTTTAGTTATTTAAGTTTCTAAATTGTAAGCAACTAAAGTGCAACAATTGGAGGATAGTATACTATATTATAGAGGCAGACTAGTTTTATGTACAACTTCAACATTAATACCAAAGCTCAATCATGAAGTCCATGCTTCTCGAACGGAAGGATGTTGGAGTTCACCGTATCTATCACAAGTTGGCTAAACCACTCCTCTGGATTAGCATGAAAAGTGTGGTAACTGCATTTGCATTTGTGGCAGCCTATCTTATATGCTAGAAAAACAAGTATCTGGTTTTTTTTTCCATGCGGGCTTGTTGCAGCCTCTACCAACCCCGAATGATTTTTAGGAGTTTAGTAAGGATTCATTATTGCTTTGCCAAATTTTAGAGGCCATAATACATATGCTCATTTTATTATGATCAAGCATGCTCACACATCTAAAGGAATTGTTGAGATCTTTGTAAGAGAAATTATATGCTTCCATGGGATTCCAATTTCAATTGCTAATGATCATGACCCTACTTTTGTCAGTAATTTTTGGAAGGAGTTCTTCATATTACTGGGGACAGTTCTAAAATATAGTACAACCTATCATCCGGAGATAGATGGTTACACCGAAGTATTAAACCGGACTTTGGAGATTTATTTATGTTGTTTTTGCTGTCAGCATCCCAAGGAATGAGGAACTATTTATATAATATCAACTTTCACTCATCACCCCAAACCATTCCTTTTGAGGTGGTATATAGTAGATCCCCTCCTTCATTGTCCATGTTTACCCTAGGGGAGACCTTGATAGAGTCAGTAGCACAAGATCTATAGAGCAGAGATGGGGCTTTGTTTTCATTTACACTGAGCCCAAGATTACATGAATCGTACAGCCAATTTACATAGCAAAAGTTCTCTATTTAGGTGGGTAACTAGGTATATTTGAAATGCTTCTTAGTTAGAAGTTCTACATTGGTTAGAAATGGACTAAGTGAAGACCAACAAGTGTCAAAAATTATTTCAACTTAAAAGTTTAAGGTGTTAGGTTTATGGGTCCTTCCATTTATATGTTCATCACTTAGTTGAGTTTTAACCAATGTGGGACTTCACTACTCACACTTAATCCCAACATTTTCCCCATCAAGTGTGAGTCTCAAGCCCATATTCACTCTTTCTCAAGCGGAAGCTTCTTCGAGTATTGATGGGGTTACATCAAGGCTTGGGTACACCCATCAAGACCCTGCACATCATGGGTTTGGAAAACTTAAAAACCTGAACACTAACTACCATCTTCAAATACTCAATTCACATTGACCTTTCAAATGAACCATTTCAACTCAAAAATTTAAGTTGTTAGGTGAAGGCCGTATTAATAATTTTATATTATACTTTTCTAACAGTATTGACACAAATGGTTTGTCCAAAGGAGGTCAACCCAAAGTGTGGAGGGTATATATTCTTTTTTAATAAAGATAATTGATTTCATCTCCACAACAAGGAGTGATAATATATATTTGGTAGCAGTTCAATAATTCTGTTAAGATATAGAGGGCTGGGAAAGTAAAAAGCAAAGACCAAAGGAGATGAAGAAAGAAAGACTGTGTATTATCAATTATGGAAAATGAAGAGTAAAAGAGTTGTGTTCTTTACAAAGGGCACATTGGATGTTATTGTGATTGAGAGTTATCTCATTGTGAAGGGAACATTTCCTTTGTAAAGAGCACAACTCTTGTATTCTTCATTTTCCATAATTGATAATACACACTCTTCATTTTCCACTTCTTCTACAATGAATGTCACTAAAGTAGGCAAGGGTATATTTACTTTAGAGGTAAACTCTATTTTAAAGTTAAGTTAACGTTACACTTCAAAATAAACACCCTTACTTATTTACTCTAGAGGTGTAAACTTATCTCAGAAGAGCATTAACCATTATGTAAACATCAAATATTGATCAGCAATGTTAATAATTTAACAGAAAAACATAAGCAAATACGAGAAAACTTGCAATTGGGTGTAATACTGTAATTTGATTGATGTTATAGATGAGCAAACACTACTTTTGGTACCACATCCACAAATGTGCGGATCCAAACTTCTATTTTGACAGGCTTGTTACTTTCAAATATTATGCATGGCTGGTTAGATAGACATTTTCAAATCTACGGAAGTTTCTGCTTCACTCAACTCGTTTCTTATATTTTATGCGGACTCCCTCAACATTATCTCAGCCTCCAACATCATTCTCAGAGGAGAATGCACAACTAAAGCCAACATTCATAAATGCAGATCAAACTTTCTCCTAAGAAGTCATCAATTTAAAAATATCTACCAGGTGTCTCTGCCTCTAAATATGATTCACTAAGAGGCCACAAATTTCAAAATACCAACCCTCTGCTCCGTCTTCCAGCAGGGTTGAAATCCAACATACTCCTAAAGATTGACAACAGGGTTGATGTGGAGTGGGCAGAATTGCAGAGAAGGGAGAGAGAGGACAGATTGACTGGAAGGAAGTGATTTCTTTTTGTTTATTCCATAAAACCATTGTGGCCTTTATAACAAGGATTTGAAATACTAAAAAGGTAAAGTCGATAAATGCTTAATGTTAATTGACACTAATCAAAACTAATTCATACCAATCTATTGATGGCAATAATTTATTAATAGAAGCTAAAAAAATGTTAATTGATAGAAATTGGAGCTAATTGATATCAATTCAAGTTTTTATTAATGGAAGCTATTAAATGCTAATTGATAGCACATAAAGATGGAAGTTGGCAATCCCAACAAGGCAACAATTGATTTTGACTATAAGCTGTTATGTGAATCAAGACTAATTTTGAAAAGAAAATTTCAATGCACAAGCGTATTTGAACACTAAAAACGTCATACCTTAGAAGCCATGATCCATTTTCCATCAATCCAATCCTGGTGTAGCCTTAACTGAGAGCCCTGAAACTCTAGTTCTTCATTGGTGTTCCTGAAGAAAACTATATATCTTGAGTCATCAAGAACTTTAGAAACCACACCAACCCACCAACCATCATTGTACCACGCATCAACTTCATCAAGAAGTTTAAATTGACCACTAACACTAGTTTCCGGCGGATGAGGCCTTATGTGATGGATATCAGCCTCCTCTCTCAAAAGCTGTGAATCATCATCAGCCAGTAGGCTCTGGTACTCAATAAAGAACTTCTCCTTTCCCATTGCCTCAACTACAGTGGCAGAAAACCAAGCTCCTTGGAAACCATCTTCGTCACTACTAACCTCCACTACTGTCCCTACCTTAAACTCTTCCTCCTCCGTCACAGTTTCAACCAAAAACTCTTCCTCCTCCGTCACAGTTTCAACCAAATTCAAATTTTGCGTCAACTCCTCTTTCTGCACTCCATTATCCTAGAATCAAAACAACATCATCAGGTCATTTCAAGAACAATAAACTAACATCCTAACATATGTAATTTAGCCCTAATGCAACAAATAAAAACAAAATTTTGATCATATTGTATTGAAGCGTGCCTGTTGTTGTTGTTCTTGTTGTTGTTCAATTGGCGGAACCCAATTTTCATTGATCCACTCGCGGTGGATCCTAAGACTCTCCTTGGGAAACACGATTTGCTCCCTCGAGACCCTGAAATACACAGCAAAATTACCATCCCCGAAATCTTTCGTTATGTGGCCCTCCCACCAGCCGTCGTTGTGGAATGCGTCCACCTCATCGCCGAACTTGAATTCCGGGTGGCTCTCCGCCGGTGGTAATGGTCGGAGCTGGTGAAGACTTATGACTTCTTTCAACCGCTTGGAACTTTGTTCGTCGGCCATCAGGTTGTCGTACTCCACCATGAACTTGTCGGAGGCGATGCGGCGGACGACGGTGCCGGAAAACCAAGAACCGCGGAAGCCCTCATCGTCGGAGCTGACCTCCACCACAGAGCCACGTTTGAAAGGGGCTGAGACAGAGGAGGAGGAGGAGGATTTCGAGGCTTTGGGTTTGGGCGCCATCTCTTTCACTTGCTGGTTTAGGGTTTTACTATGTGATCGCATATATCTATGAGAAACGGAATCGTAGAGTAGCGAGTGTCTTTATAATTCTATTTGGCGGGAATGTGAACGGAGTTGTCTCTATTTCATTACGCACAAGTAACATAGAGAATTATTGTTTGGGTTTATTGTTTTAAATTTTCAAATAATAAAAAAATTGATATCGGATAAATTAATATAATAATCAAGAAACTGATTTAAAATTTCATATGACTTTGTTATATAATTTTTTTTATGATTTTTATTCATATAATAATCAAGAAACTAATCCTAACCTACAAATACTTCAGAATGGAAATTATTATGATTATACTTCAATCGACTGGTTTTTAGAATAAGTATTTTTCAATTACTAAGTTTATTTCTAATTAAATTAACCAACACAATCCTTCTGCGTAAATGTTTCTTTCGCAAGTGCGGTATTTGTAAGGTGGAAAAATGTTTTAAGATTCAAGCCAACTTAAGGGATAAATGTTTCCATTGTGTCTCATAAATAATTTCATGTCATGAGCTGTTATCTAGTGGCAGAATAAGGTGGGGAACCAAGTTATTCGGAGGAAATGTGGTTGGACGTGTTGATAGGGGAGTGGATCCTCTCATGTGAAAAAGTGGTTATGTGGTCATGTTATTTGATCACAACCACTCATTGATGATGAGATAATAAAGAGAAAGGTATATAATTTTTAATTGAGTGATTGTGATCAAATAACATGATCACTTTTTCACATGAGTGAATCCATTCGCTGTTGACAGGCTAGTCCCTGGTATATATACTGTTGTCTAATTTAGTGAAGTTGGTAGAGATCGTAAAGTGTCAAAAATGCTTGCTACTGGCTGAATTTGCATCTTTACCTTAATGCTACGCAAGTGAACAGAAATTATAGCTTGAGTTCTTCCACTCCATGTCACTAGAGAAATTGCAACCACAACCAGAACCAAAAACAATCCATCCCTATTCAGTAACCACCGCCTCTTTCTTCTTTCTTTGAATGAGATCAAATATCATTTGATTCTAAATATGCAAAATTTGGCAAACAAAACTATAGTTGTCGCATAGGTTTCAGAATGAATAAATAATGTCAATATACAAAAGTCATTTTGCCACTCTTGGTCTTCCCCTTGTGTTTATGGCATTGTGGAGCTCAGGAACTTGGCTAATTGGCAGTGGAATAAGGAATGCAACTTCCGTTTTGTTCGCTGTCGGGAAGATCCCTCATCCTCCTGTTTTAGTATTCTTCTCCTCTCCAAATAAATTATTCTTTTAATCAAATTTAAAAAGAACAGAACTTTCTCAAAAAAATGACCTTCCTGCTCTCCTTCCAACTCCTTTTCTGTTTTCTAACCTAAACTGAGCAAATCTATTTGCAAGAAAAATGTCAAATTCCCTCGTGCCCGATTTCTTTGCTGTATTCTATAACCAAGTTGATTGTGCTTGCAAGAACTAAACCAAAGAATCTGCCAGAAGCATTCAGCAATAAGATGGTCTTTTCAGCTTCTATTCAAGTCACGTCTTTTAGGTCATGTACAAAGCAGTCTAAATCAGGTACATGTCCTATATCTTTCATATGCATAATCAACAATTTCAGAACTTCACACACCTGCTCATTTGAAGAAACAAATCTATCTCCAACAACGAAACTGTAAACCTGGTTTTTCAATTCAATCCAGCTCCTCCCCACCTCTTTCTTATTTTTGATACCTCTCATCAGCTTCCTCAAACTGGCAAAATCAGCCCAGTTACCTTCAGCAGCATAAATATTTGATAACAGCACATAAGTTCCCGCCTTATTTGGCTTCATATCCAAAACTCTCAAAGCTGCTAATTTGACCATACTTGGTTGTTTATGTGCTTTACAAGCTCCAAGAAGGGCTACCCAAATAGACTCATCCGGCTTAAATGGCATATTCTCTATTAGTTGATAAGCTTCCTTTACTCTTCCAGCACGACCAAGCAAATCCACCACACATCCATATATGTCTCGATCTGGTGCAACATTATAATAGCTGGTCATTAATCTAAAATATCTCAGGCCTTCATCCACTAGTCCGGCATGGCTACAAGCACTCAGAACTGCCATAAACACTATTTTATCTGGTTTAATACCTAACCTGACCATCTCATTGAACAATTCAACAGCCTCTTTTCCATGTCCATGAGACCCATATCCAATCATCATGGACGTCCAGGAGACCAAATTTGTGCTCGACATTTCGCAAAATATTTTATGTGAATCAGCTACATTTCCACACTTGGCATACATATCAATAAGTGCATTGGATAATGCCATGTTGTTATCGAGGCCTCTACGAACAATTCCACCATGAAGCTGCTTCCCACAATACAGAACTGCTAAGTTAGCACATGCAGCTACAACACTAGTAAATGTGAAGCAATTTGGACCAAAACCTTCTGACACCATTCGTGAAAATATGCAGAGAGACTCCTCAGAATCCAATGTTTCAAATCCAGCTATCAAGGTATTCCATGTGATTGTATCTTTCTGAGTCATTTCACGGAATAATTGCTTTGCCTCAGATGCACAACGACACCTGCAATACATGTCCAGTATGGAATTCATGACGGGAAGATTGGACTCAAATCCATGATTAATCACTGCAGCATGTACCTGCTTGCCCAAATTGTCAGAGCCGATTGAGGTACAAGCTCTAACTGCAATTGAGAAGCTGAAAGGACTCACCTCTCCTTCCTCCTGTTTGTCACCAAGAAATTACGGAAACATTGTTATACTGATTTCATCTCAGATCAATTATTTTATTTTCTTCTAGTTGCTATTAGATCATTAATTAGTCAAATAATTAAGTAAACTAGAAATGGATTTACAAAAAGAAAAGAGGAATAAAACAGAAGCTTACCAGAAACATTTGGCGGAAAACTCTAAGACCACCATAGGCATCACCTCTATGAGTATACCCAGTGATCAAAGTAGTCCATGAGACAGCATTCTTGGTAATGATATCGTCAAAAACCATTCTTGCGTGGTCCATGCTATCACAGCAAGTGGCATACATATCCATGAGTGCATTATCAACGTATATGGATGATCCATGAGTACCAACCTTGATGGCACACCCATGAACCAATGTGCCACATGAAAGAGCTTTCAAACCCTTACAGGCCTTCAAAACAGCAGATATGGTAAAAGCGTTGGGCTGCACCCCACCTCTCAGCATTTGACAAAACGCATTCCATGCACGGTTGTGCTGATTGCACGAGATGCAGCCAGTGATCATGGCAGTCCAAGCCACGACGTCTCTGTGGGACATTTCGTCGAACAGAGTGTGTGCCTCTTCGATAGAGCCCTTATCGAAGTACGACTTGATGAGATCAGTGGCTAAACCAGTCAAATCCTTGGGGCAAAACGGTGTGTTCAATTGGGTGCAGCGAAGAGAGTTTTGGACCACGAATGAGATGGGTCGGAAATCAGTTGGGGACAGTAACTTCCTAGCACCCGCCATCACACTTGTTTCAACTGCCTATCCAACCAAGCCTCATATTTATTAAGGTTTGATGATACATGTTTCATTGCAAAAATGGAACTGTCTTGCAATTTCACAATCTGGTTGGTGTTTAGTTCGGTTTAAAATCTCGGTTATGAAAAGGCGATAACTTAGCTGAAGCGTGAGAGTTGAACAAATATTTTATATTTATTTTCAGTCTTGTACATGATTTTTTAAATTTAATATTTTATATTTATTTTTATCTTTGTATGGTTATGATCTGTGAAACACGGACACGTTTTTTTTGGGAAATAATGCGTGTCCGACACGTGTCGGACACGGACACGTTCGGACTGTCGGACAAGGACATGTTCGGACACGCGTCCGATACGCGGTCAACTTTTTAGGACACGTTGATTAGTGGGACACGCGAATTTGACCGAGTCCGACATGCGGTCAACGTATATAGACACGTTTTGAGACATGTTTTGTCATTTTTTTTAAAAAAATAAAATAAAATTACAATTAAAAAAATACAAAATATTTAATAAAAATAAAAAGTCAGAAATCCTATCCTCTTGTCCTCTCTCGCGCGGGAAACTTTCTCTTTTTCGTTGGTCCGTCGTCGTCTCCGGTAATAATATAGGCAGTGGAAGCGGAGATCAATATAGCTCCTCCTCCGGCTCAGCCCGCCAAGAAGCTCCTCATCAAGCTCGACAGAGATACCCCGTTCATTCTATGGTGCCTCTTTTCTTACTCTCTTCAGCTTCTGCAGATTTGAATTGTGTTAATGGTTTTGGGATATTTTAAAAGGAAGCGAAACCCAAGAGAGGGAGGGTGCCTACTGCCTAGCCAGCATGGGCTGATGGCTCCCATGTGATTTTACTGCTCACCATCGACTCATTGGTCCTTGTGCTTTCAACTTTGAATTCCTAACTTTGACTTCTATACTTCTAGTATTATTCTTTCCTTCCTCTTGGTCGGTTAATTAATAAATACATTCTTAATTAATAAAAGGTCCCAGCATAAACAAAATTTTTGAATATTTAATTAGCATATGAGTTGCTATATGTATTAAATATAAATTATATTATATATATTAAAAATATTATTTAATATCAAAACGTGTTCCAACGTGTCGAAATTTAACATTTTTTAGAATTAACGTGTCGTGTCGTGTCGTGTCCCGTGTCCGTGTCCGTGCATCATAGGTTATGATTTCTCATATTTGATGCTTTCACTTTAAATATGAGGAATCATAATCATACAAAGATAAAAATAAATATAATCGTTGGATCAACATAATTGATCTAACGGTGAAATTGATTGGTAGTAACACAACTTGGTTGTTACAATATCCTTCTCCATTTTTTATTGGTATGAATTTTGTGAAACTTTTTAGTGAGAAATATATACTTTGAGATTTATTGAAATTTTTCTAGTGTAGTGTTTTTTTTTTTCCTTAGGTCGACTCGCTCGAAATCGAATTCCGCCATGGAATCTTCGTCAAAGCTTAAAAGTAGCAGATTTTTTAGCATCACAAAACAACAACTCAACAAGATTTTTAATCTAATCCATTTCAAAAACAGTAGATTTTTGAGCAATTTTTAAGAGTTTTTGAAAGTTTAAAAATAATTTTTCAAACTATTGATGCTATTTTTCTTGGCACAAAAATATTTAATTTTTGTATTAAAAATAACACAAGACAGTGGAAAAATAACAAAGGAACAAAAACTCCCAAACCATTTTTCGTTTTAAATCAATGCAACAATATCGATTTAAAGAAGGGTTCGTTTTTTCTGCAGTCACTGCAGATAAGCTATCTGCAGTAAGCCCACTACGACGTTGTTTTGGAGCGAAAATCATGGTATTTTTGTAATTTTAATTTATTTTAGGGTTATTATAGTCTTTATAATTATAATTTTTTAATCTTTCAATCCCAAAACAACGTCATTTTGGGAGTAAATATAGATAACTTTTCTGCGGTAACTGTAGAAATATTTTTTTGTTTGAAGAAATATTGAAACTTTTATAATATGAACCTTATGTTTAATAATATTACATTCATAAACGAAATTCCTCCGCTATAGGAAACGATTTCAAAGAATCTTTTTATCAATAGATCACTAAAAACTTCGTTTTCAAAAGCTCCAAAGCAATTTAAGGTTTTAATGTATCGATTGAAAATAATTTGAGAAATTTTCTAAACTTTCATGTAATAAAACTTATAAATTCATATTCGAAATTTTCTTGGAATACGCAATGAAAACATGCATATGATAATGGTTATTTTTCTCTCATCACGTAAAACAAAAATCTCAAGGTTTACAAGATCAATTGCAAAAAAATTACAAACGAAATTCTATCATGAATTTTACTGATTGAGAAAATTATATTAGGTCTTACTTTTTTTTATCAATATCATTGCATTTCTTTGTTATTTTTTTATTGACTCTTGTAATTTTGAATGTTTGTTAAAAATTCATATGATTTTTTTAAAATCTTATAAATCCATATTATCCTTTCAAATCTTATAAATTCTATTAAAATCCTTTAAAATTCAATCTTACGAAATTTTGATCGTAAAAAATGTCTTTTAAGTCCTTCCAATTCTAAATAATCTTTTAAAATTTATTAGATTTTTTATCTCAAAAAAGTATTTAAAGTCCCTCTAATTCTAAATTATCTTTTAAAATCTATTATATTTTTTATCTCAAAAAAGGTCTTTTAAAATCCTAATCTAATACATTCTCTTAAAAAACCCTGGTAGTAAACAAAAGAAACTGTGAAAAAAATTATAGTGGGATATGTTATATTTTTTTTTATTTTTTTTTACAAACTCTTATAATTTAGGAGTATGATATTGTAACAACTAATTAGAGTTACTACCAATCAATTTCACTGTTAGATCGATTATGTTGATCCAACGATTATATTTATTTTCATGTTTGTATAGTTATAATTTCTCATACTTAATACTTTATATTTATTTTAACCTTTGTATGGTTATGATTTCCATATTTAATGCTTTCACAATAAATATGGGGAATTATAACCATACAAAGATGAAAATAAATATACAAAAAAATATTTCTGCAATTACTGCAGATAAGTTATCTGTATTTACTCGGAAAACGAAGTTGTTTTGAGATTGAAATATTAAAAAATTATAATTAAAAAGACTATAATAACCATGATATAAATTAAAATTATAAAAATACCATGATTTCTGCCTCAAAACGACGTCGTATTAGGTTTACTACAGATAACTTATCTGCAGTGACTGCAAAAAAAAATAAACTCATAAATATAACCGTTAGATCAACATAATCGATCTAATGATAAAATTGATTGGTAGTAACATTGATAGTAACTCTAATTAGTTATTACAATATCTTACCCCTATAAATTATATTATATATTATGCGTACTACATTTTTTTTAATATATATCTAAAAGACTAAGGACATGTTCGAAATCTGTATTGAATTTTTTATTTTTAGAATAAAAAAATATATTTTGTAAAAAAAATTTAAAAATTATAACATTTAAAAAAAAAAATTAGAGATCATTTTTTTGTATTTTGACTTTTAACTTTTAAATTAAAAAAATAAAAAAACTTATTTTCATTAACTATTTTACAAAATAATATTAAGAAGAAAAAAACAGGACAGAATTAAACACACCCTAAAACTTCATTAAGTATCTGGTTACTGTTCTGTGCAAACATACTTAGACTTCCTACAAGTCAACCTTCACCATATGATTAATAATGTCCTCCTTTAATTTTAATTCCTTTCAAATGAAAGGATACAATTTAAAAGATAAAGTGCAATATTGTAATCGCTGATTAAAAATTATCAGAATCAAGTTTAACAAAATATATCTTTATCACAATTTCAGCCAATCATTTTTTTAATTTATGATTATAGTTTTACAATTTACTCTTTAAAACATTCAGAAAGTAACTTGGAAGACACAAAAAAGTACTACATAAAAATAGTTCAGTTACGCTCACCTAGAAACTCATTATTATAAATTGCCGCAAAGGAGCAATCGTAAAATGAGAAAAATATATATATGAACATTTGTTAATGTACATATTTGTAAATTAAAATCCTAAGTATCAACTAACCAATAGGTAAGGAGACTATAATTTGTAACAAGTCAGAAGTTTAAAAAGCCTGCGTCATCCTTGTAACTAAAAAACAAAGTGAGAATTGCCCTCTCAATTGCATACTATTGTAACATAAGTAGGGTTATATTGACAAACATTTTTTTCACAAACTTACAAACTAAATTATACGTGACCGGTAATACTCTCTACTCAAGAGTATATTACCGGTCAAACATAATATAATTTGTAAGAGTTTGTAAACAAAAATTTGTAAATATAACATTTCACTTGTAAAATGTTGTTAATTATCCAACTTAATTTTTACTTTATCCTACCAATTGCGTATTAATTAAACCCTGAACTAATTCATGTACAGTAGGCATTGTGCTTCCAAATAAAGCAGAGTCTCATCACACAAGAATCTGAGACTTGGCAGCACCACGAGAGCACTTTTTCCTTCCCCTCTTGCTAAGTCCACAGACACATATATCAAGAAGCTCATAATCCTCCTCACAGAACAACATGGATGCCATTTCAGGATTCTTCAAAAGCATCTTGGATGTAAGGAAACCAGCTACTGTCCATGTTTGATACAGCCGAGCTTGTTTTCCAATAAATTTTCCAGTACGTGTATCATAGTATTCAGGCCAAGAATCTAGTGGTAACCTTTTCTCAGCCAAAGCAACTGCTTTCAGAGCTAGTTCAATTCTCCCCATTTTGATGCATGCCAGCGTGAACTGAAGATCATGTATAAGGAAATTAAATATATCACAAATTAAACCAACACTTCATAGTGGATAACCAACATATCTAAGCTTTCCTTAAAACACAAATATTGCCATCAGGAAAAAATTTACCTGCCAGAGAAGGGTTGGCCAAGATCCACCATTGTGATATGACCAAGGCCTGCAAAAGTTAAGCATGTTGTTTCAGTTAAGATTCATAACGTAGAAGCAATTCTGACTTCAAAGACAATTATAGAATATAAATTCATCAAATGTACTCCGCAAATTTAAAAAAACATCAACATCAACAACACTTTTATCCCAAATTAGTTGGGGTCGGTGGTAGATGAACTCGTAAATTTTAAAAAAGAAAAAAAGAAATCAAAAATCAAAATGCTCCAAGATATGCAAACCACAGAAGGAACTTACGTATTCTTTGGGTCGCTGCCAGTAATTATGCGCCACTCTTCATTATCCAAGGCAGGATAACATATCTTGAGAGGCATATGGCCCACAAGATCATCCCATTTTGCTTCTATCAGATTTAAAATAGCCTTATTCTGTCTTGGGGTACCCAAAGATGAAACAATAGACCAAAGATTTCCAAGAGTGAAAAACCTGAAATCCATGTGAGCTGGTTGCAGATTCCCAATCAGATATCCACCTTCTTCTGGAATCCAATCCATTACCCACGAAGGAATTTGTTCTGGATATATGTTGAATTTGTTAATGGCATCCATGGAGTACTCTTCTGTTTTATACCTGTATATTTCATTCAACTTTTTCATATCGACCCAATAATATTCTCTAATGTGGAATGACAGTGCACTGAGTCTGTTGTTGATGGCTCTAATCAGATTATTGGTTCCATCAGTTACAGCAAGCATCTCACGCGAGCAGCGAAGAGCTGAGTAAAATAATGCCTGTAAAGTAAAACTTACCACAAATAAGGAAAACCAAATGGAGAGATAACAAGTGAAACAATAGAGGTATAATTCAGAAACCACATCACCTGAATTCGAAGTTTCATTATGTTTAGCAAAGATATATATAAGTCACTTGTAGCATATACAGGAAAAAGAACATATATCAAATAAAAACAGGTGCATTATGTCTACAGACAAGGGCAATTGCAACTGAGTAAAATAGAGAGCATCATGCAATTTACATAGAACAGATCACAAAAACAACATAATTTCCAAATCCCTATAGCACCTAATACAAAACACACAAGAATGAAAAACATAGTTTAGTTAAGCTTACTTGGATCTCAAGGGGGTGACCATGAATGCCCATCCGCCTGTCTATCATGCAAGACCCATCAGTGACTAGCAGAGAAGGAAACATATCGAAACCATCAGTTAAACACAAATTAAGGATCATTTTTAAGCCTGTTTGAACATCCACCCTTTCTTGCAAACTGTAGTCACCAGTGAGCTTCCCATAAGCCCGCAACAGGATGATCCACCATAATCCTATCAAAGAAACAAAATTGTAACAATAGAGAAAAGTCATTTCGTAATGTTACTCAACTAATATTTTTGAAAATGCATATGGTTCACAATGCACAAGCAATTTTCAATAACATTATTTTTCTATAGACATATTATACGAAACTGCGAAGTACTAACCTGAATCTACAGGTGCAACACGACCAATGGCTGATTCCCCAAAATCAGGATCTAGAACTTCTTCATGATTATCTTCATCAAGAACTACAGTTCTAACTTTGAAACTAGCAGGCATTAAGCCCTGCCCGGGACTGTAGCAGTCCACTGTTTTCTCCCAGCTCTTTTACAAGTAAATAGGGAAAAGAAAAAAGTAGAATGTTAGCAATCAATATATAACAAAATTTTAAAACACTTGTGATTTTTGTAATAATAAAAACACTTTCTTTTGGGATAAATCAAAGTACAGACAGAATTGTGAATTAGCATGTAATCACCACAATAAATATACTTTCTTTAGCATCTAATCCTCGGATATACCATTAATCATCAGCATCTATTGCAATGATTACGTACCTAACTCTTCGTATAAAATAGCCGGGTTGAATATATGAAAGGGAAGAACATCAATAGAGAATGGATTCAATTGATAGCCATCCAGCCATTTATAGCTTAGACTTACAAAGCACATGATTGAATCTTTATGTGACTCTGAAAAGGATAAATTACCTGCAATTGCAAGGTGTGAAGAAGAAAGTTCTTAACAATCTCGTTTTCTCCTCTAAGCAAGAAGGCAAGAGCTGAAGGGACAAAATCCCGAATAAAGACTTGATCATAATTCAAGGGTGACTTATCACCTGGATCATTTGCAGCCACTGTCCCCACGGGGCTACCACAATAAGTCACAACAGCTCCTTGTAGCAACTTCCATGCTTGTTTTTCAACATCTGTATCTTCGCCTCTGGTCTTGACCAGTGTCACATTCACACCACCATCTTTATTCTCTGTGCTAACATCTTCAGCTCCAACTCCTAACCCGAACTCTTCTTCTCCTACAACTTTCTCATCATCCTTATGAATACTTTCCACCACCAATGGCTTAACATTCATGCCACCCTGTATGTAAAAACTCTCAAAATTGTTGTCATTGACACGGGTCTCAACAGAGGTTGAGAAATTTCGAACCTTGAAGGCAACTCCGGCTATGGTGGAGCTAAAAGACCTTGATAATACCCTGTAAAGGCCAGAATTCGAAGAGGGTAAGTCAAAAACTTTCTGGGCACCACCTGTTATGCTCTGAAACCCCAATATTCGAAAAGGGTAGTGATTGCTATGGTCAATATTGAAACGATGTTTCAGCCAATTGTTAGCCAGAGCAAGAGTATGGTGACATTTTGAAGTTGGGAACCCAAAAAACGACGAATTCCTGGAACCAATGAGAATCCTACGAGAGAATTTCATTGTGAAATTGCGAGTAAGGGCAATTACGTTCATGACCAAAGAAAAGATTATTGCAATCTGGGAATGACAACAGAAACGAAGTCAACTCAAAAGGGTTAATATATCATAAACAGCGTGTTGGGATTTCATATGAATGAGTTAGCATAGGCCTATGATGTTGTAAGAATATGAAAATCTAAGATTTTCATGGATAAAATCTAGATATCAGTTCTTTATCTCAATTTGTGGGGGAAAAGAGAAAGAAGCGTATTGAATAATCATGTCAAGAGGATTGGAGAAGCCATGGTCCTTTATATTGAGGCGGTGGTGCTGCCGGCGATGAAGGGAAAATGCTGTCTTGAATTTCGGTGAATCTATCTTTTTAGGTAAAGAATTTAGGGCGTTTGTCACAGCAAAAATCTTTTTTATCCGAAAAATATCAATTTTTAAAAATATGATTTTTATGTTTAATTTATGATAATATTTAAAAATTAAAAATTTAAAAAAAAAATAGATTTGTGAAAATCCTGAAAAATATCGCGTAGCGAACGTTCCCTAAGTATAGTATATTTTCTTCTCGTTCATAAATTTTTTTTTTACAAACTTATAAATCGATAATATTTTATTCAAAAATATATTATCAGTTAGGCATAATAAAATTTATAAATATAACAATTTCGTTCTTTTTAATGTCAAATGTCTTGTTATAATTTTTAGGGTTTGATTTGATGTTTTTTGTGCATAAGAAAAAAATAAAATTATCTTACACATAAAATACGTAAGGCATGTGAAAAAAAAAATGACCACCGCCTATTTTTATATATATATATAAAAAATAATTTTATCTCATACTTTTAATAAATCACAAAATCTGCCGTGTAGAAATTCGGTATCAATTTTACAACACACTTATCATTACGTGTGCAGTGGTTCATTAATTTTTCATGGAAATCAGTCTATTTTATATTTATTTCATGGTAAAACATTATCGAATCATTTGATCGCTTCCTAATTTTAGTCAAACTTGAAATTTGAAAATGTTAAACTTTTCGTCAATTTTAATGATATCTATTATTTATTTTAACTTTTGTTTCTATGGTTTAACATAAGCTATCAGTGCCATGTGAGATTACCTTGTTAATGTTAGCCAAATTACCGTAGGTTTGGTAAAATAAAATTAAAAATAGGTTGAAAAACATTAAATTGTCACTAAAGTTGATTTAGAAGTTAATATTTCTAACATCAATTAAAGTTGGGGATAATTAGGTGATTAAAAAAATAACAAGGATAGTTGAAAAGGAGCAAAACTAATAAGTATATTTACCCAAAAAAAAAAAAAAAAAATTGGGGTAGAGGATTGAAAATTATGAAGACTACATATTTGGTTTTGGTATTACTTAGATCAGTATGAGAATCTTTTTATCAACACAACTCATGAGTCTTTTAGAAAAACCAAATAATATTTTATGGGAAAATATTTTCTCTTTATAAAGGAGAAAATTTTTCTCCTGTTAGTGACTCATAACATAAGTGAGTCCTACCTTGAAACTTTTTCTCTCTCTCCACTATTTTGTGAGCCCCACATATATTATGAGTCACTAACATGAGAAAAAATTTCTCCTTTTAAAGGAGAAAATGTTTTCTCATATTTTATAGTACTAAATGTAAATATGGGGTTTATACTTCTATAATAATAGCAAAACAAAAATCTTCTACAGCAGATTCAATTAAAGTGGGATCGCACAGAAATAGAAGGATCAGCTGCAAAAAAATTTGTTTTTGCTACTACTGTGGAAGTATACACCACATTAAATATAAATGGTAAATATAATTCAACAACTGTTAGCAGTTAAAATTAAACACTGCTATTAGCAATTTTTTTAAAGTGCAGACCAACGAAGATATGCTTTGTTTTGGAGTAATACTTTGTAATTCTAAAGCGAGAAGTTACTCGTTTTGCTATATTTGGAAATTTCCGTTATGACCTTCTCTTTCGGGTAAGGAGGAGGATTATTTCATTTGTTTTGTTTTGGCGAAAAATTTTGGACTTGAAAGAGTATTGTTGAACAATTGCTAAAGAAATTTAAAATGAATTTTATGTCTTAAAAATAATTTGATGATATTGGGTTTAATCATTTCTAAGAATTTTGATTTTGATTTTTATAAAAATATAATATGCAAAGATCCATACACGACACTTGCGACACGCATGAAAGTTGGAAATAGATTTTCATTGATGACGGGTCAGCAAAGATGTTGTCCACCACTTTTTTTTGCGCCTGAAATCTGTCCCAACTGCGTGTTTGATTCATAAACAGTGTTCAACCAATTGGCCTTAAGTTGAAGATCCCACTTTTGTGGTTTGATCTTATCTTCTTCGTTCTAATTTTTTTTCTTTTTCTTTTTGATTTACATGTGATTAATTTAATTCTTTTCCAAATTGGTCTATCACAATGTTATATTATGCCATGTTTAGGTGGAGCAATAATCAATCGTAGGATGTTGGGTTCTGTCCATCATCTCATCTACGAGAACCAAATAAATTAATTAGTTTGCATCTAACCAACAAAGAGCAATGGGGAAAACTACATTAATAGAAGAGAAAGAGAGAATGCAAGAAAGGGACTGGTATATAGAAGTTTTGCAAAGGAAATTTTTTAATTATTTTCCATTCTTATATGTATTAAAGCAAGTTCACGAATCACAATTTATTGAGTCTAACAACCAAGTTTATGCGTAAATGCTTGTAAACTTTGGCCTATAAATGGAGGCTTTCCCTATAATTCAAAGCATTCCACAATTCAAAGAGAAATGAGAAATTAATAATATCTCCCAAGTGTTATTTTGAGTGCGACATATTTTTCCAATTCAAGAAAATGTCATATTGTTTTCTCCTTTTACTTAGAAAAAGATTATAATTTCTTCTACTAAATGAAAATCTTCTACATAAATTTTACGTGTGTCACTTCAATTGATATATTTGTTGATTAATATATTTATTTATCTCTTTACCGATGAAATTAATATAAAGTTAATTATACCGTGATGTCTATGAAAGTGGTAACCTTAAATTTAATGATTATTTAATTAGTTGTCATTGCATACAACAAAGAGACTCTAACTAAATTTACCTTTCCATAAATTTACAGAGATAAATTAGCTATTGGAGTGTTGATCAATTAAACCCGATTGGTAATTTAAAAGACTTTGAGAATAAACAAAACACATCCTAAGGTATTTATGGCACTGATTGTTTGTAGATGTCCATTGCTAACTGCATACCAGCTTGCCTAAAGCATAGTTACTTTAGCTGCAGTTCCATCATGGATATCTTGGCCGGCAAATAAAATCAACAGAAAATTTATGATTTATCTTAGACGGAATATAATTTCTATTTTACTGTTTTTCTTTTTCCTTTTTGCTTTTACCAAACCTCGAGTAATTTGGCTAACATTAACGAGGTAATCTCACAGGGCAATGACAGGTCATTTCTCTTCATTATTTACATGCATATTAACTGCTGCACAAGTGTTGTGTGTTTACATATCTATATATATTCATCATATTACACTTTGGCAGTCGAGGACAAGTGCAGGAGCACAAAGAAATTAACAAAAAAAAAACACTAATCAATAAATAATTAATAGAATTGTTTGAAATCGCCAACTCCATCACCCTTCTCACCGACACAATGAGGTTCAGTAAAACTTAAAAGTACCCCCATCTTCTTTATCTGATATGTTAGGGGAGATTTATGTAAGCTTAACAGGAGTGAGGAAGCAAAGCTTACAGATTCCACTTAAAGTGGAGATTTGTTAGGTGAGAGATAAAGCGTTCATTCCAGTCATGATATCAGGTTAAGTTGCTTTTTACAAGATCACGAAATGTCATAATGACCCCATTGCATGTGTTATTCCTAACATCCTAGTCAGAGTTAACCTATGCACACTGCATCATTACCATGATTTGGTTAAGATGTCCGATGAACATAACAAAAGAATAGTGACTAAAATGTCACTCTTCACCAACTTTTTTTTTATCTAAATGTCACGCGAACAGTATTATTTTCCAATTTCTTACGGGGGCAAATTTGCTACCCGGTGTTGCGAACTCGGTTTGCTGACGTGTCACATTTCTAGTGGACACCAACTTGATTTTAATCAAGTTCGCCTACCATGTAGGCGACCATCATTTTTTTTTATTATTATTTTTTTAAATTTGATACTTGTTATCCATTAAAAATATGACACGTCAACAAACCGAGTTTGCTACACAAGGTAGCGAATTTGCCCCCGTGGCATATTGGAAAATAATACTGTTCGCGTGGCATTTAGATAAAAAAGTTGGTGGATAATGGCATTTTGGTGAGTGTTCCCATAACAAAGAGGGACAGGTGCTTATGAGTGGTGGTGGGGCCGGCGAAAGTGATGGAAAACGGTACAAAAAAATAAAATAAAAAGATCATGATCATCTATGACTCATTGTTTGCAATCGAAAGGAAAAGAAATTACCGTGCCATGCGTGAAACAGGATTTTTGTCCAGCATCATTCGAAAATCATTTTAATTAAGGGTGTGACGTATAAGGCATGATAGTATGAGTTTATACTATATGTTGTGATATTTTCAGTTGTTTGGTGTGACCATCGTATAGTATAAGTTTATACAGCATAATCCCTTAATACATCAAAACGATATATAACTTAATCCGGCCTAAGGGTGAGAGATAAGACCTGATAAGAGATTGATGTATTAACATCGTTAACCAATAATTATCAAAAATTAATATATTATTTTAATATTAATCTATTAAAATAAAAATTAATTTTTCAATATATTAATTTTTAAAATATTGAATATTTTTATTTTTATAAAAATTAATTTATATTTTGGACACACTGATCAATACATTTTTTATAAAATTTAATATCATATGACATTTTTTTGAATAATTATATAAATTCTTTATTAAAGGATATTTTTATTAAAAATATTTATTTTTATCATACATAATATTATACAGTGCATTACCAAATATTAGATAATATTATCTTATACAATATATTATTGTATACAATACCGTGTCAAACGCTGGATAGTATTAAAATTCAATCAGGTCTTATACAATCAGGCCTAATACTATCAGGTCTGGTACTATCATGCTTTATCATATCCTATGCACCAAACATACTTTTCTTCCCCTTAATATCGTCATGGGGAACCATAGAGAGAGATGATAGCAGCTAATACTAGATTGAGTTCCCCATTTATCCGCACAACACCCATGCTAAAAAAATATGATCTAATGTCATGTACACCAAACAAAGTTACGAACAGGATATAATTCCTCCGTTACGTTCCTGGCAAAGATGCCTCACAAATTTTAGATACAGCTTATGATATGAAATTCTACCAAGGAGCTTGGTTTTCTGCTATTGTTGCTCAGCAAATAGGGAAGTGTATCTCCATTTTTGGTTAAACCCTTTTAAATTTGATTTCAGTTTTACATATATCTTCGTCGGAGACAAATCGTAACCCACGACCTGATGATACAACATTATGACATTTGTCATTCACATTATCCACCAATTTATGACTCAATATCATGATAATAAGCCGTAAAAGTTCGTTGCACAGAATATAAATCTTAAACCTCCGATGCAAAAGAATACAAAAAAACATGATTTACACCCGAAAATAAGTAACTGTTTTACTATGTAATTTGATTATCTAAGTCTCGCTCACTCAAGCCTTTTCTTATAAAAGGTACAAAATTTTGCATTTGTTGTAATCAGTAGCTATGCAAGTTCGATAGGTAGTCAAGATCGAATATGATGCTGGCCGAAATAATCATCATCATGTACAAACTTCCACCGCATTTCAATACTTCCAATAATGCATGGTTCAGTCATCTATGATAATCAAACATTGAATGCTGACTGTAAGGTAGATGAGAACCGAGAGGCAATTGTCTGAGAGGCAAATTGTTGAATCTGCTTCTTAGCATCTGAAAGACAACCAAGCAGTTTCAGTCATCGCAAGTTTTTCCATTGAATAGCAAGTAAAAGATGAAATTGTACATTCATATGGGGAACGAAGAGAAATCCTTCCTAATGGTAGGAAGGGGACGCAGAGAGGGGCAGAGCTTGAATAGAACCACCAGTCTCAAGATGTGAAAAACTAGACCTAGAGAAACTGCTAGGGCATGCATGTTTCATACATATCCATATCATTCAAAATGAAACACGTACTCATTGGAAGAAGGATCAATCAGACCAGATGTAGTGCAGAAAATATTGATACAGCAAATAAAAACAAGACCGAAAGTCACCAATCCCACAAAAAACAGGGTACTATTACAAGGAGTTATTCCTTTTCACATATCATTGCAAAATAATGTGTCTAGTTACTTAACCAATTCCATAGCAACTATTTCTTTTTCTTTTTTGGGAAGTGTCCATAGCAACTATTTCTACTACTATAACAATGACAATAACAATAATAGCTTCCAATTTGTGGGGAATATATTTCTATTACTATAACAACGACAATAGCAATAATAGCTTCAAATTTGCTGTGAATATAGATTGTGGGCATCCTAAAGACAAATGCTCACCCAATTAAGCCCAATGGACAGGTTGCAAACCACAAATACAAGATTGCAATTAACAAAGCATCAATAATCACAGAACCCTACATGGGTATACAATATATCAGCATCCAAAGCACCTTTGAACCAAATATCATGACCCAACTTAAAGAAATTATGGTTTGGTGATTAAATGAGTCATTTTGAGGCCTAATAGAGCCCTTTGCCACCCAGGAATTGACAAGAAAAATCATGAATTGACATTTTACACAAAAACATTGAACTCTAAACATAAGTTATTTAGTAGTCAGTCTCCTCTTGTGTGTCAACAATTTTACAGGAAGTGGGCAGAATACAGCAAATTATAGTTTACATCTTTCAAAAGGAGACGAGAAATAGGTGCTACAAAATAAGTTTTCATGACTTCAAGATGACATATTACACGTGTGTCATAAACCAAGAAAAGCCTTGCACTGAAAATTTCAGTATCTTATTATTTCCAGACATTTCCCCCAACCTAATTCAATTTTTCTATATTAAAGGACACACATTTTAAGAACATCATCAATAAACTTGTGTACCTTTATTGCATTTGGTAAAACCAACAATATTTGCAATGCTGAGGGTCAAACAAACTCCTACAACAAGGAGATAATCGGCTTGAAGCCTTATGAGCGAAAATATAGCCAGCACGACCCATGCAACTGCCTGTAGAACAATACAAATAAATAAAAAAATAAAAAATCCATTGTTATGCTGATTAAAGAGAACATGATCATGCTTTTGTGTGTGTGTGTGTGTGTGTGTGGGGGGGGGGGGGGGGGGGGGTTAAGTGTTAGTTACGATCCAATTGCAAGGAATGGGACTTGGAGTCCCACAGTGGAAACGTAAGGTTCCGGTGTGGGATTTATATGAACATTGAGTTCTCCTACCTTACAAACTAGCTTTTGGGGTTAAACTCCCCCACCCAAGGTTCATATCGGAGTTATTCTCCAATCAGATTCAAAATTTATTGAGAACTAATCACTTTATTCTGATTTCTGAACATTACAATCCATTTAGTATATTATTTACTCCTAAGCAACAGGTGCACCATCTCAATAAGTACGACCAGACCACAATATTATATGTACTGTCCCCTATATTGAATCTTTTGACTGTAACTGAACCTACGAGAAAACCGGAATGTTGTTGCCTGCTATAACCAATCCATATTTTCTTACCGAAAGGTAAAGGGTCCACCAGAAAAGCCATGAATCTTTCTTGTTAATCCGAGCCAATGACTGGAAGGAAAAAATAACATATGTAAGATGCAAGTTTCTATAAATAAAGAATTTGAAGCTCATTCTTATGTACTCAGCATAGACAGTACATGACAGAGATATTATTTCAAAAGTAATATTACAGCCCTGCCATGGATCAAAACAAGGAATACCTACCTCGTGGTCAAGACATTCAAATTTCCAAACACTCTCACCGAGATCATTTATTTCATTCCACCATCTCAAACCAACTAAAATTCTCCCACTCACATTCTTGACAACCCAAAAATCAAGGGCGGCAAGAAGGACTGTCACCACAAAAATGATGACAAAATTATTAATAAAGAGGGCCGAGAGAATGTAAAATGCCAAGGCTGCAGCCTGCCACATACAGAAAATGATACTTTAATGATGTTGAACATGGCTTACATAAAAAGATAGGCAAAGAGGTCGACTATATAAGCTAACCTTGAAGAGAACATGAAAGAAGCAGGTCTTTGGATTGGCGTAGTTTTCACCTACAGGCTGCACACGGAGGAAAATTCGATTGATTATCTAAATCTAAAAAAGTAATCAATGGCATGAGCATTCCAACCAAATCTACTTCCAGTGACCAAAAGTGTACGGCAAAGTCTAATCCATATTCAAATTTTTAAGTGTAGCAACACATTTGTATAGCACAGAAAATGAAAAATCGAGCAGAAAATAAAACGCACTACTGAATCATCGTTTGAAATTAAAAACATTAAGCAGTGCATATAGAGATACTACTGGATTTGATTTTCCCTCAAGATTATTGAAAAATCGAATCTCCGGTCTTCCTAAGATTCTAACAACCAAAGGAAAGCGTAGATGAACGAAAATTCAAAGAAGCAACCTAGAGCTAACAGTCGGAACCAGATCTAAGAATTATAGAGAATGAAATGGAGAAAACCTAGAAAACTAGTTGATTTACCTGATTGGGATCCATATGTGACTGTGTGAGCTTCGGAAAGAGAAGAAGCGAAGCTTGCAAGTAATCACAGACGACGGAGCATACCAGATCTTACACCCCGCAAACGCAAGGATTTTCAGACCAAAATTTGTTTCTTACGGATCCAAGATGAAGTTATGTGAAAAAACACTATTTCTAACGGATCTAACTAAGAAAGTCCTCTTTCTTCACTGTTTCTTTTTTTCCTTGAAGAAATGCAAACAAAGAGCATTATGGGCCGGATTGGGCTTTACTTTAATTAATATTTATTTATTTTTTGGACTTTTGTCACAGTCCAAATGGCTAAAACCACATTTGTTAGCGGTGTCAAAAAATGCTATAGTCTATGAACCCAAAAAATGATGTGCTGGACCCTCCTGGTCTAAATTAAGTTGTGACGACTGTGATCATCTGTTGGGCTTAGGCCTTAACCGTTGTCCGTTGTCATTCTCTCTTGTTAGCATAATAAAAATTGGAAAATAAAAATTATTTGAATTTAGCTTAAATATTTTTTAAGATAATGAATTTTTAATTTGTATTAAATATTGTCTTTTTAAATGTTAAATATATAACCAAATTTTCATAATAATATGGTAATAAAATAAGATAAAAATTAAGAAAAACAAATTTTTTTTATATATATACGTAAAGTGATATGCTATAAAGGTTCTAAATGATGGTATAAAAATACAGGAGTAGAGGTATCAATATGTAGACCAAACCTTGTCTAAGTAGTAAACAGAGCAGATCTGGTCTAGAAAAAAACCTATTTAACAAATAAGCCGCAGATTTATTTTAAAAAACTTAACATACGAGGTTGACTTATTTAGTATTTTAAAATAAAATAATATAATATTTTATACTCATTTCTTCTGTATGACACTCTTCTCAGAATGCATTTTGTTGGTATTTTTCTATCCCATTTGACCTTTTATACTTGTAGATAATTCAATAAATATTATTTTTAGATGCAAGCCTTAATTCGCCTTCTTATAAAAGCAAAGCAAACTACTCAAATGATGAAGTAGGTTAAGTGAAAGTTTGTGTTTCCCATCCAAAAAGGTGAGCACGTGAGGCAAGTGCATTCTCTACACCTCCGTTACACGGACACGCAATTTTTTTTTTAAATTTACGTGTCGGACACGTGTCCGACACGGACACACTCTGACACGCTCCGACATGCTCGGACACGCGGTCAATATTTGAGGACACGCGGTCAATATTTGGGGACACGCTCGAACACGTTTTTTTTATTTTTTTTTAAATCTTAAGTTTATTTTGTTAACTAAATATAAAAGAAATAATTTATAAATTAATTTTTTCTGTTATAAAATTTGACATTAAAAGTTAACAAACTACGAAAAATTATTTATATTTATATTTATGTTATGAAATTTAAATATTTAATTGGTTATATGACTTATTATGGACTCTTATATGTATTAAATATAAATCATATTATATATTGTTGAGATATATAGTCCCACATTGGTTGTAAGTGCAACTAATGTGGAGTTTATAAGACCTTGGGCACTCCCACCCTTTGAGCTAGCTTTTGGGGTGGTGACCTCAAGGTTATTTACATGGTATCAGAGCCGGATTGGGCTCGAGCTAGCCTAGTGATTGGCTAGGAGGCAGGTCGAGTACTTTGCGCTTCGGGTACTCGGTTGAGGGGGAGCATACCAATGGTGGGTTTCACACTTAAGGGGGAGATTGTTGAGATATTCAAGTGTGATGAGTCCCACATTGGTTGGTAATGAGCTAAGTGAAGAGTATATAAGTGAAAGGACCCATGAACCCAATGCCTTAAGATTTTGGGTTGAGACATGGTGTCGGATCCACTTGCTACGGTTGGTGTAGCCTTAGCTCATTGGTGGTGGTTCCCCGCCACGGGCTTCCCCTGGACCCGCTTGACATTGGAGTTTGAGGGAACGAATTTCCCAACAGTGGTATCAGAGCATTGTAAAGAATCTTGAGGTCACCACCCCAAAAGCTAGCTCAAAGGGTGGGAGTGCCCAAGTCTTATAAACTCCACAGTAGTTGCACATACAACCAATGTGGGACTATATATCTCAACACGCCCCCTTACACAAGAGCCCATTGGGCTTTCGTGTGAGGGGGCATGTTGAGATATATAGTCCCACATTGGTTGTATGTGCAACTAATGCGGAGTTTATAAGGCCTTGGGCACTCCCACCCTTTGAGCTAGCTCTTGGGGTGGTGTATCCCAAGGTTCTTTACATGGTATCAGAGCCTCGCCGCCCCCCGCTTTCTCTTGTGGCGTTTCTTAGCACAGGTAGGCTGAGCCTGTTGCATTGTCTACTCTTCAAGCCCAATGGGCTCTTGTGTGAGGGGGCGTGTTGAGATATATAGTCCCACATTGGTTGTATGTGCAACTAATGTGGAGTTTATAAGACCTTGGGCACTCCCACCCTTTGAGCTAGCTTTTGGGGTGGTGACCTCAAGGTTCTTTACATATATATTAAAAAATTTATTTAATATCAAAACGTGTCCCAACGTATCCAAATATGACATTTTTTATAATTAACGTGTCAGCGTGTCGTGTCGTGTCAAGTCTCGTGTCCGTGTCCGTGCATCATAGCTCTACACCATTTCCTTCTTACAAGTGTGTGAAATATCAATTCTACACGCTCTTTTGAAGAAGTCTCTTATACAATACTCTAGAGAGTGAAGCAGATATTGCATATTACACACACGCCAAAATATGTATATTGCGAACAAACTTTTAGTACACCCGGTATACCAAACTTGATACACTCGTTTATTAAAATGAATAATTTTTTTTTCGATTCTAACCCTTACTTTTTTTTATATTTCTCTCCTTATCCCTTCAAATTTTTCCAAATGTAACGAGTTTGATACACCCGTGGTATTAAAGATATTTCCGTAAATCGCATAAGATTATTATAACTAAGAGAGTTACATGTACTCGTGTTGCTGATGGGCCTGAGGCTTGGGCTGGACTTAAAGAAAATCACGTTGATATCTCTTTTTATGAAATCCAGGTCCAACAGTGCTTAATCATTTTCTTCTATTTGGGTTCTTGGACTGTTTAATTACCAGAAAACTACCACATAACAGTGTCATGTGTCTTTTCGTAAATATACACAGCAACCTTAAAGAGACAAGGTCATGTGAAATTGTGAACCGAACACATTTTTGGTAGGTGGTGAAACTGGAAAACACGAGTGTATGAGACATAGCCACGCTTCCCCTTCCCAAAACTACACACCAATTCAATTCATATATGAATGTATGAGTAGCAGAGAGAGAAAAAAGAGAGAGTGTGTGTGTTAGGTTTTGGTGTTGAATGTTGAAAATGGGTATTAATGGGAATTCAGATTCAGAGGCAGCAGCGATTGAGATAAAGAATCTTCGATTTACATACCCTGGCATCGACGGCCATCCTCCGCCGGGTTCCACTCCTCTCATTCAAGATTTCTCTCTCACTCTCAATTCCGGCTATCGCTGTCTTCTCGTTGGATCCAATGGCGCTGGTTCTCTCACGCGCTCTTTGTCTTCCGTTTTTGAATCTTAAGAAGAGGCATTTGCATTTTCATTTTTATTTATTTATTTGTTCTGTGATTTGATTACTAGGCAAGACCACCATACTCAAGATACTAGGAGGGAAACACATGGTGGAGCCAGAAATGGTTCGTGTGCTCGGAAGATCAGCTTTTCATGACACCACTTTAGCATCTTCTGGTGATCTCTGTTATCTTGGTGGTGAGGTTCGTGCTTTTAATTTATGCCCCCTTTTCAAATATCAACTATTATTAATCTCAATTTGGCATATCGATTAGTATAACTAGTACTTGCTGTATATGTCTCTTACTGATAAACTATATAACAAGAAGGGATAGAAGAGGTTGGTTTAAAAGATCGAAAATTTTATGTTGCGATTATTCATTTTTAGTTTCTATCAAATTGTTAACTGTTAGTAATTGATTCCATCATGTTTTTTGTTTTTTGGGGGTGGGGGCACAGTGGAGGCGAGATGTTGCTTTTGCAGGTTTTGATGTTCCAATACAAATGGACATTTCTGCAGAAAAAATGATATTTGGCGTAGGTGGGATTGATCCAGAAAGAAGAGCAGAGCTAATCAAGGTTAGATGAATCTTTTCTTAAACCTTTTATATATCTAACTTCAGCTGGACACAGTTGCTTAGTTTTATATATTGAGAACTTGACATGCATTTCAGGAATATTTTTTCTTTATGTCAGATGAGTATAGTGGTCTTAGGACACTTTTATTTTAACCGGAGAAGTAGGTTATACTTTACCTAGTCTAAAAACAAAGTAGCACCATGAATAATTACTTTTTGCAATTTTTTATTTGTTTCAGTAGAATTGACTATAATTCTTTGATATATGTTCTCGTTGTGTCCATAGATGTGGCTGTAGAAGGGGCTTACTGGCCACTGAAGTGGCATTTTGTTTTTTATGAGTAAATATCGGTTTCTGTGCAACCAAAAGAAATATTATTCCACTTTACTCGGTTCCTAAGATATCCTCCTTTTTCCATTGTTATTTTGGTACGGGTTTTTAACCTTTTTGTTCATTTCTGTATGGGTTGTACACGCATGAGGTTTCTCTTAATAACTGGAGAGCCTAAATGCGTTTAATATGGTACTTGCTCCTATATCCATGAATTTGATTTTGGTAGATGGCATAAAGACCGAGCTTGCCTATGCCAGATTCGACCAAAACCAAATCATTATGTTCTCTTGATGTTCATGATTTCCGGCTATGGATTGTTAATTTCGTGGAATGTTTCTCTGGCTATGTGTATATAGTTGTTAATTTCTTAGAAGGTTTCTCTAGCTATGCGTATATAGTTGTCTTTGGAAAACCGTTGCTTATTTTCTGTTTTGCTCTTCGACTTGGCAGGTACTAGATATCAATCTTTCCTGGAGATTGCATAAAGTATCAGATGGTCAAAGAAGAAGAGTGCAAATTTGTATGGGTCTCCTCAGACCATTCAAGGTATTGTAATCTTTTGTTTCATGTATTGAAAAGTCACTATAGGCTCTTCCTTTTTACGACATACCTATTGAATTGAGAATCAGTTTTATATTTGTGGCTTCGTTGCACATATGTATAAGGTTCCTCCTTGTTTATCTAGGTTCTTCTTCTCGATGAGATAACAGTTGACCTTGATGTTCTAGCAAGAGCTGACCTGCTGAGGTTTCTAAGAAAGGAATGTGAAGAAAGGGGGGCCACTATTATCTATGCAACACATATATTCGACGGTCTTGAGGATTGGCCAACACATATTGTATTTCTAAGTTCCATTATGAACTGTTTTATTTTAATGTTTTACCATAATCCTTCGTAATTCTTTATGTTCTTTTATCAGGTTTATGTAGCCCATGGAAAGCTACAACTAGCAATGCCTATGGACAAAGTCAGAGAACTTAGCAAACTATCTCTAATGGTTAGTTTTGTTCCTAATCCCAAAAAGTTTTTGATCAATTATTTCTAAGTGTCACTCAATGTATCTTACCTCTAGTTATATGAGCCCTAGTCAGCTCATAACCTTAAATACCACCTAATGGTTATGGTTATGGTCTTGTCGAGGGAACATGGTGGATTATAGACCAAGTTTTGCAGTTTTACAATTTAAGAAAATAAAATAAAAATAATTGTACCTGATTGGTTTTGAATATGCAGAGAACAATAGAAAGTTGGCTGCGGAAAGAACGCGATGAAGATAGAAAGAAAAGGAAAGAGAGGAAGGCAGCTGGTCTTCCTGAATTTGCAGAGCAAGTTGATGGAAGCCGTGTAACAGGAGATCCAGCACGTGCTGCTGTTCGAGTAGTTAATAATGGCTGGGCAGCAGGACGATTACATTCCACCATTGCTGGTGAGGAAAACTTTCTCCTCAGCGCCAACCGAGTATTGAGGCAGTAGATAAAACTTCAAATTCTAATATCGGTTTTGCTTTATATTTTTATAAATTTCAAAATAAAATTTGTTTGCCAATGCTATCTGGCATATATAATCCTTTCTTATATATATAGGATCACCGATAAAACCTAAATGTATTTGCCCATGAAAGTTTATAATACTTACTTCAAAGCCTCATATTACTTTGTATTGCAAATTTTGACCGGTATTAGAGGACAGAGAGAGCGATAGCAGCCTGTGATAAATTCTCTTAATATTTGTCTTAGTCTGATGTACTTGTTTGGCTCAATTACTCTGGCACCTCTTTATATTTAGATGATGTCTTTGGCTATATATCCAAATATATAATTCCACTTCCACAAAAATGAGGGTTTAGAAAAAGAATGAAAACTTCTTGGCGTTCAAGATAGAGAATTCGATTCTCCAGCATTCCATTTCTAAATTCTCCTATAAAAAAATCCCTAATGAGGTCTTCTACCTTATTTAAAAATAAATAAATAGTCAACAAGGCGTGGCACAGGTGGCTAAGGAGTCGGTCCATACCTCAAAAGGGTGTGGGTTCGATTCCCTCTGGCCGCTTTGAAGGCCTTTGTTGATGGGTAAACTGTAAAGCGGGTTTAGTTTGCCGCTGTCCCTGGCGTAAATCCTTATAGAGGTTGAACAGGTTTGCCCTGGCCCTAGCGGGTTACATACCGGTGTCTCCCCTGCCAGAACTTTTTCTTACTAAAAAATAAAAAAAGAAAATAAATAAATAAAAGAAACACAGAAAGTTGTACATGGCACGTATTATGAATAGACATCCTACCATAAGCTGTCTATTCATTCCTGGTCTGGGCTAGTAACTTAATATTTTGAGATCAGTCTTATCAGCATGTTCATCCTACATGAATGGTGCAGTCTCCACTTCTTAAGGAAAAACTATAACTGCATCCACTATCAAGAGATTCGTAGTTAAATTCCTCTTCAAAAAATACAAGTTCACCTGGTGCAGTCTCCACTTCTTATGGAAAAACTATAACTGCATCCACTATCGAGAGATTCGTAGTTAAATTCCTCTTCAAAAAATACAAGTTCACCTGGTTCAGTCTCCACTTCTTATGGAAAAACTATTACTGCATCCACTGTCAAGAGATTCGTAGTTAAATATTGCTAAACTCTTCAATAAATGCAAGTTCACCCCTACAAGTTTGCCATTTATAATATTCCACTCTCACACTGGTAATTTAAGCATTCTTGATTTGAGCATCGTCTCTTGCATCTTCACATCCTCAGCTCAATTGCTGTTATTACCATGGAACCATGTAAAGTTAGGTGAGAAACACGGGATTCCCCCACTCTACATATGCATGTTATTTTTGCGTTTTGCCCGACATTGAGTGCGTAACGTTATGCTTTCCTCTTGACTCGTGAGTAGCTTTTTAAAAAAAAAAATACCACGGACGTACTACCACTTCCACGATTATTAAGTAGCAGAGTTCCAATTAGGCAATTACATTCGGGAAAATATTGGAATTCATTGACTAGCATAATTTCAGCGCAATCAAAGCAAATGTTAAGTGAAATTTGTAAATGAACATCTAAATGCCTGCTTAGTTAGCTCCAAAATCACTGTCGCAGCCTTCTGAATGAGATTGTACAGTAACTTGTATTGTTTGTTATAGATTCAATTTTTAAAATTAATCCGGCAGTAAATAAAAATGGTTTTGAGATAAATGAATTTTGAATTTTTCTATAATTAATTCTAAATATAAAATCTTCTCAGTTTTTAAAAACATACTTATATTTATACTTTAAAAGTTAAAATATCTTATAAACTGACTTAAAATATCATTTCCAAACACAAATTACTTATTTTAACATCAATTCTTTCGAAATTAATTATTTTAATATTTAATTCTCCATCATCAATTATTTCAAAATCTAAAACTCTCATAAAATCAAAGCTTAAAATAAAAATATTGTTTAGAGATGATTTCCTGATACCGAATTCTAAGAAAGAAAAAAAAAAGATCGCACATATATTCTAGTGAAAGTATCAAGAGGTATGAGTCCCCGGCTGGAGTCAATTGTATGAAAATCCTCTAATGAGATCAAACAAAAAAGTCTAAGCGAAGGGTATCATGTATTAAATGAACTATACGTAAAGGAATAAGACTCTTGAGACTCTATTCGCGTGATTGATGACATTGATGACCAAATGCGTAGGAATACAAATGAAAGACTCCCGCTTATATAGTTTGTAATTCATTAATTACTAGAAATTCTAGAAGAACTAACAAGATTGCTATCATATAGTAACAAATAACTATAAGAGAAAACAAAATATAAAAATAAAAATAAAAGAGATTTTTATGCTGTAAGAGATGCAACACCCAATCAAACTCATAATACAATCGCAAAGCCAAGCAAGATAGCAGCGTTCCTCAAAAATGAATGTCTCTTAAGCCTGATCCAAAAATTAAACAAAAATCAACCGCAGAATTATACAAGCCAAGCATCCATACAGGAGATGCAAAGTTTAAGCCTACCTTGTTGGCTATATTGTTGGAGAGCCAGTCCAGTCCCTCATAGAGTCCTTCCCCAGAGGTGGCACATGTGCTCTGAATATACCTGTGAAATATTAAACAAAAAACAACAACGCCAACAAAATCTAATTATCAAAATACGTAATAAAGATTAAAGCAATGCAAATATAACAGTAATGCATCTGAATACCAGTGGCGTTGACGGAGAGAATGAAGACCAAGCTTGTCTGTGATTTCTGCGGCATTCATAGCATTTGGAAGATCTTGTTTGTTGGCAAACACAAGAAGCACTGCATCTCTCAACTCATCCTATACATTAACCATGTAGATAACTAAAATTTCTTCCGTAAAATGTAATGCTAAAATGCAACCGTTACTATTGCCAGAGCTTTATAGACTTGACAGAGTAAGAGAAGTATCAAAGCTTCAAATCCAATGTCATTTATTCAAAACAACACATAATGCGAGACCTATCAATCAAAGCAATGCTGTCCTCATAATTTAGATTATAAATTCCCCTGCATTTAGTGACTTCTATTTACCTCATTCAACATTCGGTGGAGCTCATCTCTAGCCTCAACAACACGGTCACGATCATTGCTATCCACGACAAAGATAAGCCCCTGTGTGTTTTGGAAGTAGTGTCTCCATAAAGGACGTATCTGTGAGTGCACCATACAAAAGAACATTATTGGGAAAAATTTATAACATGTTTAACATGCAACAATCGAAAATCTTGGCAAAACAAAATTAGAAGTTAACCTAATAGACCTTGCATGTACTCAAATAAGAGTCCAAAAGCCATAGCGACCATCCAAAAAATTTGCTAAGTAAAAGGGATTACAGAAAAAATTTAGCTACCTCAGGAATTTCAAAATGGTGTTGATCTAAAGCACATATCAGAATACACATTTGTAAATACTTTCAAGCAATAAAAATGTACGAATAAAGAAAGACCTGCATGGAGTTGCATAAAAAAAGAACATATGCACAAATGAAGAGATTGCTCTACATATGACGAACCATAAGCAAATGAAACTCTTGAGAACGACAGCAACAAATAAATCAATCTACACAAATACGTATTGAAGTGAAATTTGTAAACATCTAAAGTATAAGCCACAACATGTATAGCTTTCCCTCAATGTTACAGGAAAAACTTGAAAACCATGATGGCTCAATATGTAGCTTATGTTTGTGTTATGTGCTAATGAAAGAAACTCTGCTTGGCACAAGACCGTCCATAAGCACATTGACAATAAAACAAACAGATTTCACGCAGAAAAATCTATAGAAGGGAAATCTAGAATAAATTATGAAAAATTGCATAACCTAAAACACTACATATGTTCATAGGTAGTGGTGGAGCTTCTTTAGCCCCCAAAGTTTTGTGTGTTTCTTATTTTATTATTAAACTTCCTTCACAGTCAAAGCTTGAAGATTTTCACCATAACCATGACCTCAGCTAATTCAATGGCAGACGGACTACCAATAAGACGTCATCAAGCTCCTGTCCCCTCAAACTATTCCACTGTTAGTATGAATTCTTTGCTTTTAATAAAATGTCAGTCACAATACTGAGAATTTTCCATCATATGGTTCAAGGAAAACTTGAAACAAGATGGATGCTATATATGTAGCCTATGTTCATGGTTCAGGCTGAAGGTCAGTTTGAAATAGGAAAAAGTAGTTACTACCACATGTTCACATCTTTTGTTTCAAATTTAGAGCACTCTATCAATGAAGAAAAGGAAAGAGAAAAAAAAAATACTATAATTTATTGCAATTAATATAAGATTCTATTTAAAAGTTTTAACAGAACTTAAAGGAAAATTACAAATCATACAAGCCACAAACCTTATCTTGGCCACCCACATCCCATACAGTGAAGCTAATATTTTTATATTCCACAGTCTCCACATTAAATCCTGCATAACAAAAAATATAAGCATAAATTGGCAAGCCATATCCAAAACATATGCGAAAGAAGTTAATAGTGAGTGAAATCTCATCATAAAGCAGTTAAAAGATCTAAAATTATAGAGAACAAAAAGAAGCTGGAACTTAGTACACAAGCAGAAATGTAAGCATGTAAAAGACAAATTCAGGAGCATACCAATTGTGGGAATAGTTGTAACAATTTCTCCCAGCTTGAGCTTATACAATATGGTAGTCTTACCAGCAGCGTCAAGACCTACCATGAGAATACGCATCTCTTTCTTTGCAAAGAGCCGGCTAAAAAGTTTGGTGAAAGTCAACCCCATCTCTTATTTCAACTGTATGCAGAAATTCATTAGGAGAAGGCATACGTCAACCAAATCACATTGTTGCACATTCCTCCATCGATCAAATCTCATATTTTAAGAATCAATACATTAGAGAACCGTTCTCACACTAACCGGATGCAAAAGGACAACCTTATTTTGAAATTCAGACGGAATTAAAAATTAAAAAAATAATTACGCGAATTTTTTGAAAAATGTAAAGGCAGGGTTAACTTATGTCATTAATCACCTTAAAAATCTATCGAACATATACAATAAAATAATCCAGTACGAGCTAAAATCTAAATGGAACCAAAAATTTAGAGCCAAAAAAGAAAAAGAAAAGAGGATTATTTTTATTTTCAAAAACTGCTTTGAAAGTAAAATGATTAGACTTATTTATTCGGTAGAGCACACAGCAAATGCGAAGGCTCAGATCCGCGTTATTATTAAGAACATACTTGATTTGCTATTTGAAAAATGAGAAACAGGTTACTTGCAACAGATCCGCTGGTAGAATACGTAACAAGATGGTAAATATTTCTACTCAGATTTCGCACAGACTAAACACCGAACCAGAACTCGAATAAAAGCTAATCAGATCTGGACGAGAGCAAGCAAGTACACACAAAAAAGCGAAAATGTGTACATAATAAAAGCAAGCACCAATCAAAGTTCATATGAGAAGAAGAACTTACGAGTAGAAGAAGCTGAACCAGAACAGTGAGATTATGATTAGCGAACTTGAGAGGGCAGATCCAATAAGAAGCTCCCTCGAATCGAATCGCAGGTGAATAATAGTCCGTTTTAATTTTATATCATTTTAAGTTACAGAAAGATATAAATAATAAAAATTAAGAGAAAAATAGATTATTTTTTTAAATTTTAAATAAAAAATATTATATCGTAAGCCTTAAACAGAAAGGGCCAGTAGAGTTCTTTCACCCCTCAAAAATTCATATAAGATTTTAATGTTCGGAAGAGGCCTCACGCCTCACTACAGTAGTATATCATATTGCTTCATGAAAAATAAGGGATGATTAAAAAAGAGTAAATATATTTTTGTCCTCAGCAAAATACCCTGTTTTAATTCTTAGCAAATAAAAAGACTCATTGTGTCCCTAAGAAATTCAAAATGGACACATTCAGTTGAAATTGTGGTCCCTCACAAATTTAAAAAAGACTCATATTAGTCCTTAAAAGAACTAAAATGAGTTTATTTTGAATTTCTTAGGGATCACGATGGACCTTTTTATTTGCTAGGAACTAAAGCGGACATCGTAAAATTTGCTAACGACCAAAAATGATATTTACTCTTAAAAAAATTTGTTTTAGCCTGGCCTTGCTGGTGAGTGGTGATGAAAATTGGAGATACACAATTTTCAAGCAGTTTAGTTCTGCCTTAATTGTGCTGAATGTAACTGTTTTTCTTTATTAAAGAAAAAAATAAAATTGTTTCATAGCTTAAATTTCTAGCTTTCATTTGAGGAATTTGAGGAGAAAGCATTAGAGAACAACATATTACCTCCATACAACTTACACCAATACAATTATATATGCATACACACATACATATAATGAGCATATGATATTGAAAGGGTGTTATAAATAACTTGATAAAAGACTTTCTTGTTACAAAAAGCGCTAGACAATAGAAATGTCTCATGAACTTCATCTTTTTTGAATCCCATGGCTGCCATTTCCATTAGAAGGATCATAGGATTGCAATTCCAGGTCATTAATCTCATCCTGTTCTTTATCCTTGATTGCTTCTGTGACTGTCTCTTGAATATCATCTTTCTTATTCATCTCTTTACCCTTTCCCCACAAAACAGCATAGAGCCCGAAAACTATCAGGACAGACCCTACGGCACTGAACCAAATCAAAATCTGGGGTTAAAAACAAACCAAATTGTAAGGACCAAAACATACACTTTTTATTCATCAGGCACAGAAAATCAACGGAAAGTATCTTAGTGATTTATGAGTAAATAAAGTTGCATATAATTTCATACGTGCCAACATATAATTTCTCGTGAAGCAGAGCCCAGCTGACAACAGCAATGATGACAAGCAGCAAAGGGGTGAATACAGAGACATAGAGAGGACCTTTCCTCTCAATGGTCCATGAAATGAGAAAATACACTAGTCCACTGCTAATAATTCCCTGAAACCAACATTAGCATGCAATTATGACTACTATTAAAATATATATATATATATATAGGCAAAATGATTTGTGCAGCTGCTGTACCTACAGCAAGCAAGGATTCGCGTCCGGATCTTAAGATACGACAACGGATCCTGAGTTTTTTTTTTTTTAAAAGTCGTGGGGCTCACTTTCTGTGTCAGCTGTAGATAACACTATCTACGACTGCTGCAGAAATGTTAAGCCGATATATATATATATATATATATCTAATAAAAGGAAATTGGCGGAACTATAAAAAAACTTATAGTAAATGGTATAGGATACCGCATAAAGTGCAGAGGTAAGTCCCATAGTATTGTGGAGTGACCAAGCTGAGACCTTGTGTTCAAAACACAATGCAATGGCTACGCACTGAATACTTGCCAGCAAACACATGTAGAAGCTGCACGTACAAGGAGCTCGAAAGTTCTTGCTCATGTCTGTCTGAACCGGCAAAACAAGTATAAATTTTACAAACCCTTTTTTAACATAAAGAGCAAAAACAAAGGAAATAAACATATATATAGTAATTAATTAATATCACTCAGCATTATGCTTACTTGAATTATGAACCATACTGCCCAACTAAGAGTACTAATAATTAAGGCAACAGGGCCTAGAAGCAAGTTTGTTCTTCCACTACCGGAAGAAGTTGCTGCTTCCATTTTGTCTGCATAACTCCAATGAATACTTGACTCGCCTAGATGGAGAGTTTTTCCATGGTAAAATGATAAAAGCAGTGCTCCACTAACGCTGAGGACTGTCCCTAACACCTTTGCTTGCCCGGCCCTCGTCTTGATTCTCACAGATTCTTGTCTACTCATACAACAAAACTTAAGTTATATCAATTACTATGTTGTGTTTTTGGCCATCATTATTTTAGTAGATCTTAATGTCTATAGGCTATATCTGCAAGGTGATGGATCATGGATGTTATTAGTGGACTTAAATAACCAAAATGCTGGGGTAGTCCAGTTTATATGCCACTCACCTGAAGAGGACTGCAAGGACAAAAGTGAAAGCTGGGAGTAAATTGAGTAGTGCAGTTGCAATTGTAGGGGTTGAATATTTTAGCCCCACGAAGTACAGTACCTGATTTCCTGTAATTCTGCATTCAAGCTTAAATTATTGAGTAATTAATTAAACATGTATTAGCCAAACATGAAAACGTGACTAGAGCAAATTAAAAGGGTAGAAAAAAACGAAATTAAGCTTACCCTGTTAAAGAAGATAATAATATCTGGAAACCGATGCGCATTGTGATCCGGGGAACCGTTTTCCTATGGAAAGAAAACAAAAAAAATTGTGATGCAATCATTGATCAGGGTTTTCTTCCTTGATTAGCTTCACCTTTGGCTTTTCATTAACCTTATGCAAGGGAGAGAAAAAAAAACAAAGAAACTGACGATTTCCACCAAACTTTTTACTCGTAGAAGTAGGAGATAAATAAATGAGACGAACAGATCCACGCGGTGCAGGGAGCAATATGCCTACGACTCTGAAATGTATAGCAATTGGGCTCCATTTCTCTACAATATTTAATGAGGGGCAGTACAAAAAACTCAAATTGTCTTTAATTAAGCTTTGACTTTTTGCATTAAGTGCAATTGGGCTAGTTATTGTGATCTTCTTCCTTCTCATCAACCATAAAGCATACATTATTTATCATGTTCTCTTTCGGTAATCATTCATGAATTAACTGCATTTAACCACAGGGAAATATGAGTTTAATTGATATGGTCAAGTGTTTAGTTGATTTTGAATGTTATTATTATTCATGCATATATATATGATTATTTATGAAATAAAACCAGACCACAAGAACATGATAAGCAATCTATTTATAGTTTGTACATATATATATTACCGTTCCAACCAATAAGCGAAGGGAGCAAGGGTTAGAGTTGCAAAGATTTGACGATAAGCAACAAGAACAAGAGGGTTCATGCCAGATTGTAATGCAAACTTCGAGATAATATTCATCCCTGCATAGCTCAATTGCACAAGAACCATAGCTAAGAATGGAATGACGACGCTACTCTCCATCTCTCTCCAAAGTTTCTTCTTCACTGCTCTAACTTCGGAATTTGGAGAGATTTTTTCAGAGATACTGTTTTATAGAATGGGACAACGCAACTGGTCAAAGGATGAGAAAAGAAACGTGGGAGAGATATGTGTGTGTATGACAATGTAACTGGACGAAGCATGCATGAGAAATGAAATGTGGGATATATATATGGGGGGAAACTTTTCTTATTCTACATAAACCGAAAACTTATCTCCTACTCAAATAAAAGGTGGGGCCATCGTTTCAAAATATAAAATAAAAAATAAAATAAATATTAACACATATCTCCATGTATGTGCAGGAAACACTTCTTGTCATCTATTAAAGGAGAAAATCATTTCCCTTATATATATATATATATATATATATATATATATATATATATATATATGGTTTGATATTTGTTATTTTAAATGACATAAGTTATGTTATTTTAGAATAGAGATAGACACAGAAAATGAAAATCATGAGAGAGAGAAAATTGATGGTTTTTTTTAATTTAAAATTTAAATAAAAAATAATTTCTGTGTCTATCTCTCTCTTAAAATGACATAACTTTATGTCATTTAAAATGACAAACACTTTTTCCATATATATATATATATGGGCTTGCAATTTCTCATGTTGCATGAGAAATTCAAGTTTTCCTACAGAGAGAGAAAGAGATGGGGTCCACCTTAAAGAAAAAAATAAAAAATAGAAAAGTGATTGGCACGAACATCAAAGTGAGAGTGGTAGGAGAGGAGACTTTTCATGCAACAAGAGAAGTCTTTTTCCTTATATATATATATATATATATAGGGTAAAAGATTTCTGCAGTCACCGGAGATAAAGTTATCTCCAGTGAACTCAAAACGACGTCGTTTTGGGGCGGGAATCAAGATATTTTTGTAATTATAATATATTGCAGGGAATAAGGCTTTATCATTACAATTTTTTAATCTTATAACCCAAAACGACGTCTTTTTGAGCTCACTGGAGATAACTTTATCTCCGGTGACTGGAGAAATACTTTTCTCATATATATATATATATATATATATATATATATATAAAGAACCAATTCAACCCAAAAACTTAAGTTAATGAGTGAGTTTATATGAATGGTTTTATATATCTTTAACACGTTATCTCATAAACTTGAAGGGTGGATAATGCACAGACCCACCTACCTATGCATTCCATAAGACTTAATTATTTTTTAATTAAATGAGAGGCGGTGAGGATCAAATCCATGATACCGAGACTGTGGTACCATGTAAATAATCAATTCAACCCAAAAGCTTAAGCTGCTGGGTGAGGCTACATTAATGGTTTTTTATATCTCTAATATATATATATATATATATATATATATATATATATATATATATATATATATATATATATAGGTAGGATCCTTTGACACCGGTGTCAATTTTCAATTTTGACATATCATCTGAGAGTCGTTAGATCAAAAAAGATCAGCGTCTCTGATTTGCAAGCATGTGACATCATTGATCTTTTTTGATCTAACAGTTCTCAGATGAGGTGTCAAAATTGAAATTTGACACCGGTGTCAAAGGATCCTACCCTATATATATATATATATATATATATATATGGGGCAGGAGCCTTTGACACCGGTGTCAATTTTGAAGTTTGACACCTCATCTGAGAGCCGTTAGATCAAAAAATATCAACGACTCTGATTTGTAAGCATGTGACACCATTGATCTTTTTTGATCTAACGACTCTCAGGTGAGGTGTCAAACTTTAGATTTGACACTGGTGTCAAAGGATCCTGTCTCTATATATATATATATATAGAAAAATTATTTCTACAGCCACTTTAGATAAGGTTATCTACAGCTACCCTTTTTTAACTAAGTACGACCAGTCGTACTTAGTTATAACAATAAAGCTGCTCTTTTTTTCTCTCTCCTCAGACACTGTCGGCTGACATGACGAAGAGAGAAAATGCACTTTTAATCTACGACCGGTCGTACTTAGTTAAAAAGGGATAGCTGTAGACAACCTTATCTAAAGTGGCTGCAGAAATGCTTTCCCCTATATATATATATATATGGACTTCCAGCAATGAATCTTACACCGTTAATTGGAAATGATTCCCCGCATTTAATGCTTTCACTCATCTTTGTATAGTTATGATTCTCCTGAATTTATTTGCTAGACGTCAAGCGGTTGAAGAAAAGTAAAGCCCTATATATATGAGATAAGTTATTTTACCTATCTTTTTTCTGTCTATCTTTATCTATCACTCTCCAACACCGTTAGATTAAAATCTGAATAACATAGAGATATGATAAAAGTAGTTGATTTTCTGATCTAATGATATTAGAAGGTGGTCAGCAAAGATAGGAAAAAAAGATATAGGTAAAATAACCTATTTTTATAATATATATAAAAGATGCGGCAAGAAAAATGAGTATATATATAAGAAGCAGCGAGAAGAATGAGTATATATATAAGAAGCAGCAAGAAGAATGAGAAATCGTGCATGAAATGACTAGAAGAAAAAAGTTGGTAGCTACTCTTAATTTAAAAGAAAAAAATTCAAGTGGCAATGACGCAATGTTCCACTGGTTTTGAGTCATGGGTCGATCTAAATGAATTAAACCGGTTTGAATACCAAATAAAAATAAAGACAAGAAAAAAATCCTTAAGAAGACAGGGATATATGATTGATTGTTAGAGAATGGCAGAGCCAACTTATTAACTGAGTTAAGGTCAACAAAAATTTAGACAAAACTTAACATTAAATTTTATCTAAAAATTTGACTACAGTTATTTAGTCATATTAAAAATATGACTAATTTTCAAAAAAGCCCCACACAGGCACACACAACTGGCTTCGCCACCGGCATTAACTTCTTACTATAAACACTTCTATAAATATGTACATTTCTATGAACACTCTGCATGGGTCTATGATTGCCCCACTGTATAAAAAATTGTACTACTAGTATAATCCCAATACAAAATTTATAGTTTTTAATATCATAGTATAACAAACATGATGGTATCTTAACTTCAGGTATAAAATTAACTTAGCATAAAGCTTGCGAAAAAATTGTGCTAATGTCACTTTTTTTTTTTTGGGATTTATGCCAAGGGGAAAGGTTATATTTAAGAATTTTTTATTTATAAATTCTTATAAGGGTTTTAAAATAGTTATGTTGTAGGAAAAATGATTGTGTAATGTTATACAGATTCGTTTTGCGTGCTGTAATTTTTTTTTTTTGCTTCAAAAAGTGTGAACCCCACAAAATGTTGTGGGTAAGAAACTTTTTGTGTCATGTTAAATGATAAATGCAAACCCTTTCTTATAAATTTAACTATCTATTAAGAGTAATACATAAATCAACTCATATACTATCCTTAGTACTTAATTAAATTTATAAAAATTTATAAACAAATTTTTTATAAATATAACCTGTTACTTATGTAAATGTCATTTCTGTTTATGATTTTTGGTGTTAGGCTGAAAAGCTTTTGCTGCATTCAGAATTTTGAAGTAATTAACCAGATTGTTATATTTCCAACCATGCCCATGTCAGCAAAAACAATAAACGAGGCCCACCTCAATTCTCGTTACGCACAGATTGATGTCAGATATGTTATCCATGGGAAGAAAAAAAAGGCTCTTTCACCTATTAGGGGTTTTAATTTCTTTAATTTATCAATTTGGTATCGCGTTAAAGGTATTTACGAACGGGGTCATTTAGTGACGCGAGGAGGACCCAGCGTCACTGAGTGCCGCTATCATCCCCTCCCGTCACTCTCACTTTTTTTAGTTTTTTTTTTACTTTTTTCTATTGAGTGCTGCCCCCCTCCCCTGGGGCACTCACAGAATTGTGCCAAGTGGCACAATCTGGTTACTCCTATTACCGTAAAACTTCGGAAGGCCATAACTTTTGACTCGGGTATCCAAATCAGATGATTTTTTTTTGATTTCACATAACTTTTTGAGATCTACGCAATGACATCTCATTTGACATATTTTATCTTCCATTAATATAGTTCAAATGTGCAACACTAATTACACTTTTTTACAGATTTGAATTATGTTTGTGAGAGATAAAATATGTCAAATGAGATGTCATTGCGTAGATCTCGGAAAGTTATGTGAAATCAAAAAAAAAATCATCTGATTTGGATACCCGAGTCAAAAGTTATGGCTTTCTGAAGTTTTACGGTAATAGGAGTAACGAGATTGTGCCACTTGGCACAATTCTGTGAGTGCCCCAGGGGAGGGGGGGCGGCACTCAATAGAAAAAAGTAAAAATAAAAATAAAAAAAGTGAGAGTGACGCGAGGGGATGGTAGCGGCACTCAGTGACGCTGGGTCCCCCTCGCGTCACTAAATGACCCCAATTCGTAAATACCTTCAACCAAATACCAAATTCATAAATTAACATCACAAAAAACCCCCCATCGGTCAAAGAGCCGAAGAAAAAATCACGAGTAGAGCGGGTAAAACGGGATCAGCTCGGCGGGAAAATTCGTCTCACCTGTTAAACGGGGTGGGGCGGGTTAGGTTTTTCAACCCATCTCAAACTCATTTTTTGGCGAATTGATGCCGGGCATAGTCGAGCTCAGGTGGGTCAGTATAAAATAGGCTTGGACACCCGTCCAATCCGCTAAAAGGTGCGGGACAGACCGAGTTTTTCAGCCCACTTTTAAAAGCGGGACAAAACGAACTGACTCATTTTTTGACGAGTTGATGGCAGTGTGGAGTGGGGTGGGGCAGGCCGCCCACTCTACCACCTCTGATCATACATATGCACTCAAATTACAGCTTACCAGAGCGAGCATTTAAATTAACAGTGATAATTATCTGTAAAATTGTATGTCATGTAAAAATATTATTATTTTAAATAAATTGTATTTATATTAGTAATTAACTTATTAATTATCATAAACTTTATTTCTCGAAAAATTATTTTTTTTAGAAGAGTTGTTCTGATACTTAATGA